CACACACACACACACACACACACACACACACACACACACACACACACACACATATGTAGACACTATTTTTTTTGTTTTTGTGTGTCGTGTGTGTGTGATTCTTCATCGTTTTAAAACTAATAACATATAAAATATAGATGATGCTATAGCTTAAACTTGCTCTTTTTTCCTTATTTATATTCACTTTTTATTGTTCCATCATAGTTGGAAAAATAATTTTTTTTCTCCATTTCAATAGGTAAGTAAAAAAACATTAAAATTTAACTCTATTTTTCCTTGAAAAAAATTATTTTTTTTTCCTTCTACCCGAAAATTAGATGACAGGTGAATCCTATTGCTTTTTTCTATTTTAAATGATGTTTAATTGAGTTATCGGGAATGTTACTTTTTTCCTCATAAGAAAATAAAATATGAAGTTTTTATTATTTTAATGGTATAAATTTTTGGATCTCGTATTTTTTTCTTAAAAATTCTTCAATGAGTTTTAATAAACTCGTAAATCGAAAAGATTGTAATTAAATAAGAATGTTGTAAGTGGATCAAAAAAAAGTTTCTTTTTTTTTTTTTATCTATTAAAAAATTAATATTTTTTTTAAAAATATCAAAAGAAAATAATATAGTGTATGTGACGGATGTCGAGAATGGCTAGCAATTTTTCATGTTGACTTTATAAGACGAAGTATAAAAAGGGATCCATCGAATATGAGAGATTCTTTACGAAAAAAAAGTTTATCCTAAACACACTTTTTATTCTCTCTATTTGTTTGTTATTGTTTTTTGTTTCCAAATGATCATACAAAAACTATATATTTTTGAAAGAAAAAAACAGATCCAACTCATCTGTATTCATATCATTGAAAAATGTTTTGTTTTTTGTTTTTTGTACCATTTGATTACATAAAGAAATAGTAGCATGTATAGATTATTTATAATTTTTCGTTTATTTATCAAATATTCGCCTTTTGCTAATAATATCGCTATTTTTATTTTTTTATTTTTTTTATTTCCACTTATTAAATATGTGTTGATATCTTTTTTCTTATTTTCTTTTTCAGATATGAAACTATGCAGTAATATTGGTCATTCAAACTCAATCAATAATCTTCAAAGAGTGTAGTAGTTATTTCTTGTTAGTTAATTTTTTCTATTCAATTATTTATTGATTTATTTATCATTATTATAATGAATTTGAAAAACGAGAATTATTTTTAATTTAATTTAATAAAAAACAATGTTTAAATGTTTTCCATTGCCATTTTGTAATCGTAATTTGGAACAAGTTGATAAACGTCATTGTAATTTAACAGCAGTACCAGATGATGTTTTACGTTATACAAGAACATTAGAAGAACTATTACTTGATGCAAATCAATTACAAGAATTACCAAAAGTAAGAAAGTCGTTTTTCTTTTTCTAATAGATTTTATTAATATAGAAAAATGTTTTGATAAAATTGTTAAAATATTGAAACGATATTATGATGACATTTCTATTCTAAAAAGATCGCGTTTCTCCTCTTAAAATTGTAATATTAATGTTTTAATAGTGAAACTTATGTAGTAAAATGCGTGATCAAAAACTTCAACACATTTATACCGATAAAGAGTAGAATAAACGGTTTTTTGTATTAAGAGGGAATGATAAGATTTTCTCTAGTAAAAAATCAATGTTCTGCTTTTGTAGTTGGCGTGTTTCTCATAATTAAAACGAAAGAAATATATATATGCGTGATTGTTCTTAATATAATACACAAGCAGCAAAAGAAAACATGCTACTCATTTTTTTTTAATCATTTTTCGACAAAAAAACAAAAAATAATTTCGTTCATTACCATCTGTTTTTTTTTTTTTTTCATTAAACAAAAAATTGAATGAAAAAATGATATCTCGATATATATTTTAACATCTTTTTGAATTTCTATTTCTAGGGTGTCTATCGTTTAATACAATTACGTCGATTAACATTTAGTGATAATGATATACAACGAATATCGCCTGAAATTGGCCAGTTGATTAATTTAGAAGAACTAGATTGTTCAAGAAATGGTAGGAATTTTGTCTAAAAATTTTTTATGAGGTAATAATAGTTTGCTGTTTGATTTTGTTTGCATCGAAAAAAAAAAAAAAAAGAAGAAAAAATATAAGATAATATTAGTATAATTAAATCTTATGGAAAATAAATTAGGACAAGAACATGATGCAAAGAGAAAAATTCTAAAATTGAATAAAAAAATTATAATTTACTCTTGTGTGAGAAGGACCCAAATATTTATTATCAAAACTGTTTTAATCACGCACAAACTTTTTTACGTATTAGGTAAGCATCTGACTCGTGACATACTTAACATAAAAAATAAGTTAAAAACTGTTTTTTAGCGAAAATTTCATGTAAAAATCTTCTCAGGAAGATCTTCGACATGTTGAAGTATTCTCTTTTAACAGCTATTACAAAAACTTGCAAATCGATAATGATATTATTCTATTAAAATACATCATACATTCGACTTGACAAAGAACGAACTCATGTTATCGTAATTTATAGACGTAGACGTCGGATCAAAGACACCTTACAAGTTATGTAGAGCATAGTTACGCTTATTTATGCTTCTCTTTTCATTCATTGGTATATAGCAAAGTTGATGTATAGCTGAAAGATTGATGATTGAGAGGTTATTGGAAATCGTGAGAGCAGTAGGAATGTCACTTCACATAGACGATACAATATTTTCGCTTACAATCTTTTCGTAGGAAAAAGAAAAACGTCGTTTTTACTGACGCATTATATTGTATAAGAGAAATGATTTTTTTCCTTTGTTGTAGTAAAAATGAATAGAAAAAAATTTTCTGCCTGATGTGTGTCACAGTTCTAATTCCAACAGAAAACATTCCAACAGAAATTACATGAATAGCAATTAAATACGTTTTTATTTCGTATCTATCCCATAGATCATTTTTTTTCCAATCTTATTCTTGTTTCAATAATGAAAAGTAGTTGATTTCATTTGTCAATGATAAAGATCTTCTTTCTTTCCTCTTATTGACTACCTCAAAAAACAAAAAATAATGGGGATGAACATAGGCTTTTATGAAACAATGATTTCCTTTTTCCATATACGATTTTTCTTCATTCATTCATTCATTTCATATAGATGCATACGCTCGATTAATACTACCGTAATAAGTATTCGCTACATACACACATTCATCCGTTTACGTCAAGGAGAAAAAGAGAGAGAGAGAGAAAGGAAAGATTACACGTATTCATATATATACCCAGCATATTATTTTTAAAAAAAATTATTAATTTTATTGTCTATTTAAGAGAAGCATACAAACTAAACTGGAAGTTTAAACTTAAATTTGTTCCATTTGCATTTCATACAAGTGGCAATAAAAAGAGTTGAAAATAAAAATTTCTATGAGAAACTAATAAGTGTCAAGAAAAATTACTTGATTATATGAAAAAAACAATATATAATAAATTGTCTTGAATATAGCAAAATCAAAAAACCAGACGTAGTTTGCAGAGATATCTAAAAGCTGGTATTCATTACAATTTTTGAATTGAAGATGAGTGTTTTTCTCAATTCATTGTTAAAAATAAGATTTAAAATTGGATGTTAATTTTTTTTTTCCATTTATACTAGCTAAACATTTTTAGGTTCTAAATATGTTTACCATTTATGGTACCTTTCTCTACTGTTTGAGCGTTTCGTTAAAATGCTGCTAAATTAAATCTAAAACGACTTTAATGATTAATTGAAAACTGAACGGAGCTTTTACTTTGATTACAAGTCACCATCTAATATCGGTCGTCAAGATAGCTCTCGTGTTCTTATCGTGTCATGTTACGCCCTTCCGTTAAGCGAAGACCTTTACCGAAGGTACTCAACGTACTATCGCAAAGGAATATTTTTTCTAGATCTTTCCTTCTCCAGTTAAACAACAAATATGAAAAACTTTTCAAAAACTAAGCTTTTATGTTTAGAATCCTATAACTTAACAAATAAAAATGTCGAAAAAAACATTTCTCTGCAATAGTGTATTGAGTACCAGAGATACACGAGGAACAGATTTTTCAGGAATCATCCCCTATCCAACCTCGTTCAAAACATTTACCTCGCTTTGTGTACTAGCTTTTCCTCTTCAACAGCAATAGTTTTCAACTTTCCTGACATGTGTTGACAAAATGGCTTGTTTTAATTCAAAACAGTTATAGTAATACACACAAAAATCAATTGAAAACTTTATACTTCAATGTTAATGTCATCGCTGCTCCGTCATTGAGTAATGATCACGTTTTTAGTCGAAAAAAATGTTTCACTTCGTGAAAATCTCGCCTCACCAGTTTTAGATCGTTTCAGACTAGTTCTCCGAACAAAAGAATTGTTTTCCTCCTCAGAGTTTCTCCGCAGATTTCTTGTTTCCCGTCCATCTTTGTTGAGTACCTTTGGTAAAGATCCTAGCTCAACAGAAGGGTATAACGTGACACGGTAAGAAAACGAAAGTTTTCTTGACGAACGATATTAGATGGTGACTTGAAACAAAAAATAAAAGATACTCCGTTTACTTTTCAATTAATCCTAAAAGAGTAAACTCGTTTTAGGTTTAATTTAGCAGTATTTTTACGTAAAGTCTGAATAAGGAGGAGAAGTTGTTAAATAAAAATGCTGATTATGTATGGCCTTACTACGTTAAACATTTTGTGAATGAAAATGGACTACTAATACTTTTCCTATCAGTTGTTTGATAACATATACGATAGCTCTTAAACAATTCGACAAAGTCAAAAATGAAGACAATAAGTGACGAATATCAATCCAAAGACTATTAAAAATCAAAATGTATCTTCATAACTCTAGGAAATTTTATTTTATTCCTTTTAGACATAGCCGAAATTCCAGACAATATTCGACATTGTCGAAGTTTACAAGCATTAGATTGTAGTGGTAATCCACTAGCAAAAAAGTATGTCATCTTTGTTTTTTCTGTTCTGATTATTACTCCTAAGGTGTTCATTTGTTTATTTGTTTGTTTATTTATTTATTCTTTTTAGTCTTCCATCTGGTATTATTCATTTGCGTAATTTAAGTCAGTTAACATTGAATGATGTTTCACTTACACAACTTCCAGATGAAATTGGCAGGTAAAAAAAATAGAAAGAACATCTTTTTAATAATAAGATCTCAACAAGATTGATTTTATAGTACGATTATAAACCTGTTGATCTCTTCTTTTTATTTTATTTTAGTTTAATCAATCTTCGTTTATTAGAAGTTCGAGAAAATTTATTAAAAGTATTACCTGAATCATTAACACAATTACAACGATTAGAATCACTCGATTTGGGTAGTAATGAAATTGAACAATTGCCTAATGGTATAGGACGTTTAATATCTCTACGTGAATTATGGTTAGATATAAATGAAATAAATCAAATACCCATTGATATTGGACATTTAAAACGACTACAATGTTTGGATATATCCGATAATAAATTAACACAATTGCCAAATGAAATTGGCGATTTAGAATCGTTAACAAATTTAGAATTATCTACAAATCAATTGGAAGAAATACCTGCAACCATCGGACAATTATCAAAATTATTAATATTAAAAATTGATTCAAATAATCTCGGACAATTATGTAACGAAATTGGACAATGTATATCATTAAATGAATTGATATTAACAGAAAATACTCTAAGTGAATTACCTATAACAATAGGAAATTTAAAAAAATTATCAAATTTAAATATAGACAGAAATCAGTTAACGTTATTGCCAGTCGAGGTAAGAGTTTATTTACAAGAGAGATTATTTATGGTGATCGATCGTTCTTAAAAACATTTTGAATATTTACACTTAAGTAGTTAAATATACTTATTATATATTTGTTTAGATAAGTGGATGTGAATTATTGGGTGTTTTATCTTTACGCGATAATCGTTTAACTCGAATTCCAAATGAATTATCAAAATTAAAACATTTACATGTACTAGATTTATCTGGTAATCGATTACCATATTTACCATGTTCATTATTAGATTGTGATTTAAAAGCTATATGGTTAGCAGAAAATCAAGCACAACCAATGTTAAAATTTCAAACAGATGTTGATAATAATACAGGTGAAAAAATTTTGACATGTTATTTGTTACCACAACAACATTGTACAACAGCATCAACAGGTATGTATGTAGACTATTGTCTGTAAAAAAATGAATAATAAGACGTGTATGTGTGTGTGTGTGTGTGTGTGTGTGTACTGTGTTGCAGTACAAAGATTCTTTCTTCATCATAAAGTGAGACATTTGACTTGTTCTTCTTCTTTTACTTCACAAAAAAAAACGAAATGTATGTTTTATTAATTTTCTAATGGCTTTTGTAAATATAAAAAAACAAAAAAAACACAAATTTGAATAAACTACAATGAGATGAGACATATTATCTGACTTAATCCAAAGATTATTTTTCTTTTTTTCTTTGCTTCTTGACATATATTTAATCAAATGTAATCGGAATACGAACCTTAAATACGATAAATTACGTTTATTTATCGAAAGAAACAGATATTCTCTTCTATTTTAAATTTAAACGATAAAAAAAGTATGTTTTTACGTCTAAAACGAAATGTACAAATTTATCTTGTGCCAGATGAATATGATGATGATGAACATTTTATAAACGGTAGGATATTTTTATCTCATATCTTTTACAATTTTTCTCACATAAATAAATTAATCTTTTTTTGTTTTGCTGCTGTTAATTTTGTTCGACACTAGTGATGATTTCTTTATTCGCTTAAAAAATTGTGACATTCTTTTCTCATCTAATATCAGATTGGTACTATCAATAGGCGCTTTAGTTTATTTATTGCTCAGCTTCTCATCTAGATCGATTATACAATACGAAGGAACGTAAAGCTTTACGATAGTTCAGAAGTTTAACGTTTATCCTTTGCATGACAGAAAAAGTAGATCGATATAAAAACAAAAACAAAACCAATTAGCTACTATGTCACATTTTTGCAATTACTCATGCCGACTATTACGTTTTTATTGTTATTTTTATAGCTACTGAAAGAAAATACGGTCAAAGTGCTTATTAAGAGAGGTATAGATAGATTTACAAAAAAAAATTTATATGCGTATAGAAATAGGTTGTTGCTCTGCTGCTGCTAATTGGTCTTCCGTATATTACGCACAGTTTATACACATATGTTTCACTTTTATGCTTTTCCTATTCTTTCTTTTTGAACTGCTGGTATATCTGTGCGCGCATCTTCTTTTTCTTTTCTTTTTTTATTTCTCTCTGTTTTTCCCCCCGATTCCTAGTAAATACACTTTTGCATTTTTCGTTAATATCATTTTGCTTTATTTATAATAAAAATTAAAGATTTATTTCTAATAAATTTTTCTATTGTAGAGAATTTACTGAGCACCTCCAAATCTCAAATTTCACATCATGAATCGACACCCATTGTAACAACACAAAATATTGCATCTTCACCTCTATCAAAAACCACACCGACAAAACATATTGTTGATATATCAGATAAAGAAGATCGACATGAACGATCGGGATCAGTTAAATTTGCCGATCAGTTTGAAGACATCAAAGAAGTAAATCACCGTTTTGTTTTTTGAAGTGTTTGATATTAATTATTTACTTTATGTCTGTAATTTTAGAGTAGTCTTCAACGACATAATACACCACATCCAAAAGATCTTCGTACGTGGAGAAATAAGATAGCCAAAAAACTACATACAGACGGACATTTATTACATCATCATGGACATGCAAATCAACATTCTGGCTCAATTCATAGTAATCATACAAACGATGAACATGAACATAATGAAGGAAAAATAATTGATAATAAACAACAATCACTATCATCTCCAACGTCGTCGTTACAAAATAAAATTCTTACAGGTAAATTAAATGAGTAAAATCATTGAAAGATTATCTATATCTTTAGTGATAGATTTAGGAATTTATAAAATAAATGTGTTTACTAACTGTACTAGCACTTCTCAGACGTATCTCCAATAAGCTCAAACTGTCAGTGGTCCTTTCTTTTTATATATCGAATATCACAATTTTGCTTGATATGAATGCAGTAAACGATGTGGTAGATGAAACGTTTTTTCTTGTGATATGTTTTGTCACCCGTTAGTCATGGTTTTGTATGATTTTTATTTAGATGGACCGAGAGTCGTGACGACTTCTTCGCATGCACATGAATCAATTGAATATTGTCCACCTGAAACAAGTTCCGGTTATCATCATGACTCAGATGTATAACTAACTGAAAGTAGTTGCGTTTATGTACTATTGATATTCTATTCTTATTGTAGACAGACCATAATCCTGATGATAGCAGTGGTGATGTTTACCATACCGGTGATCAATCTCTTATAGAAAAACACGTTGAGTTTACCGATGATACAGCAATAAATGAAGGAGAAACGAAAGATAGTGGATCACAAAAACTTCATCGTAGAGACACACCACATCATTTAAAGAATAAACGTATACTCAATAAAAATGGTGATCAACTTTCACTAGATGTAAGTAAAAAGATCATCAATTTTGTGAAATAATACAAACTATTTTTAATTATTGTTTTTAGCAAATATTAAATCAAAGTCCAAATAAAACATCTCTTACAAGTCCAACAAAAGATGTACGTATCCGAAACTTTTTTCCCGTACAATACTTCGAGGCATGGCAAAAAGATTGTTACTAAAAATATCGTTTGCTTACATTTTGCTGTACATGTTCACTCCGATAATATATTAGTTGTCAAAGATGTTTTTCTTCTAATTAAAATCTTATATTACTTGAAATGCTATCTTATCTATACATTCAATTTACTTTTCTTAAGTCATTAAATACAGTAATTGTTCGGTTCAAATTGTCCATTTCTTGTTTTCTCCCATGATACTTCTCTCACTGTTATCGAGACTAATTTTTTTCTGTGTGATTAATACCTTTAACATTATGTACACTTCTAGAATAATAACGCTTGTTTTTATATTTTTTAGTCAAAGCAATTCTCTTCTCGTCCAATGACTATTCAACATGAACAAATTACTCTCCTTATTCGACGAACACAAAATCTGGGCCTTGGTATTAGTATTGCTGGTGGAGTTGGATCAACACCTTACAAAGATAACGATTATGTAAGTGATCAACAGAGAGAGTGAGAGAAAAAAAATCTTTATTGATTTCTTTTGTTCTCTCCAGGGTATATTCATAACGAAAGTGAGTGAAGAAGGTCCATCTGGTCAAGCTGGTTTAATTGTGGGCGATAAATTACTATCTGTAAATGGTGTTTTATTAAATAATGTTGAACATCATGAAGCGGTATTAGCATTAAAAAATGCCGGTGATAATATCGAAATGATCGTATTACGTGAGTTAATTATACCATCACCGACTTCTACGATAGCAGGACAAGATCACCAACAACAGCACACAAATACTCTAAAAGAAGGTGAAAAATTTACAACAATCATCACACGTGATGAAAAAGGATTTGGATTTTCAATTGCTGGCGGGCGATATAATCAACATGAGAACATGAACGGTATCGATGAACAACAGTCACCTGTTGATAATTATGATTTGTATATATCACGCCTAACGGAAAATGGTGCTGCTGATAAACAAGGTGAAATATTAGTCGGTGATCGAATATTAGCTATCAATGGTTACGATGTATCAACGGCCAGTCACGATCAAGCGGTTGATATCATTATGAATGTTGGAAAAAGTCTTGAACTTGTTCTCTATAGAGAAAAATATTTAACACAACGGGAACAACAGCAACAGTCGGTAATCAGTGAGTCACGACAACGACATTTTGACGACCATACACCGAAAACAAATTCGCTGAATAAAGATTCGCCAGTGGATACACATTCAATTGACAATACAGTTGAAGTAAGAAAATGTCTACTCCTATTAACAAGTATCTAGTAGTAAATACATCGAAATAAACTAAACAATTTTTTTCTTGTAGGAAGTAAGAATAGCCAAGGGAAGTGGTCCTATGGGTCTTAGTATTGTTGGTGGATCAGATCAGGCGTGCCATCCATTTGGTATAACCGAACGTGGAGTTTTTGTTTCAAAGGTAAATGTCATTAGGTTTTTTGTTATTTTATTCATTTGTATAATCCTGTCTCTTTTTAGGTTCAACCAAGTGGTTCAGCTTCTCGGACAAACCTTCGTATTGGTGATCGTATTTTAAAAGTATGTTCTTTAAAGTATATACTATCTCTCACTACTTACTAATATTTTATTCTTAGGTAAATAATCGTGATGTTAGTAAAGCAACACACATGGAGGCAGTTGATGCTCTTGTTCAAGAAACAACTGAAGTTTTATTATTGGTGCGACATGAACCACAACCAAGCGGATTAAAAGTATTTATATTTTAAATTTATCCACAATATTCTAATTATTATCATTTACATTTGAAGGAAATACAAATTTTACGTGCTTCCGGTGAACCGCTCGGTATTCGTATTAACGGTGGTGTTGATGGTAAACGTGTAAATCCCGACGATCAAGAAGATGATGGTATATTTGTCACAGAGGTAATAGAAACCATGACATCAACGCCATAATGCTTTATTTTGATAATAAATTATTAGGTAAAAGAAGGCAGCCCTGCAGATGGTCATTTGACTGTTGGTACAAGAATATTAGAGGTATTTACAATTGAGAAATTTCATCGTCTATTTTGTCTCGTCACTATTTGCATTATTTCGTATGTGTGCGTTTATGTTTTTGTATCGTTTATTGTCTTCTCTCTACACATAAACACAAAAAACATCTCTTTTTTGAATTTTCAATTTTAATGATGAACCGAACACCAGTGTTTCGTTATCATACTTTGAAAGTGCTATTATTACATGCAGTTGTCGAGTATTTATCTTCAACCATGATTTTTTGTTACGTACAAACTCAGATACATTGTCGGAATCAAATGCACCACAACAAGCGCAAGCAGTAGTACGATGGATACAATTTTTTAGTTCTCATCTTTCTCTACAATAATAATAAAAAATCGAACAAGAACAACAACGCACACATAACGTACAAAAGTGACTTGAGAATTTCTTCTATAAACTATGTATTCATGTCATTATAGGTTAATAATCAAAGTTTATTTGGTAAACGCTTAGAAGATGCTCAAAAAGCAATTAGTATGCCAAGTGAAAGTATTAATTTATTAATCTGTCATGGTTTTAAACCAAAAGACGTATGTATATTAACTAATATTTTGTCAATGTCTTGACTCTGTTAGACTAGAAAGACGTTAGTCAAGAATATGACTGCAAGTGACTGCGCTTAAAAATATTATATATTCCAGATGTTATCTCATTATGTTTTTAAATTTTTAGTCTCAAATATCCCCTGTACCATCGTCAAATAACAATAGTAAACTTTCAAAAACACCACATTCACCAAGTCCAAGTCGACAATCGACAACTCCACCATTAATGCGTCACGCATTACAAAAGCAACAGCAACAAAAACATGTATTACCTCCAATTTCAGGACTTAATCATCGTACAACTGAACAGCATAATGGTTTACAAAACATGACCGATTTACCATCAAAAGTAACAAATCGAACTTTATCACCAAAATTAAGTCCACGAGTAAATATATTTTTTTTTTGTGTTTTACTATGTTCGATTTTTCTAAATATATTTCGTTGTTCATAGATTGACAAAAACTTAATTCCCATCATCGATGACAATACAAATAATCATTATTCAGCTCATCAGACAACATTAACATCACGAGCTACCGTAAACAATACAAACTATAGTCACAATAATGATTACACACAATTGCCACCTCCCATCCCTATTAAACCTAAACGTTTGCAGTATGATCATAATGATTCATCATCTTCAAGACAAATTACTAATAATAATAATAACATGAATAATAATAATGGTAATAATCATAACTCTTCGCCTCCGTTTCCTTCTTTATTAAATTCAACGTCAACAATATCTCCAACAGAAATATCATTCACATCGTCATCATTTGTACGACCAAACACAGCCGAATTTCGCCAGTTTATACCAATATCCGATCATTTTCCTGTGAACAATCAAAAACAATCGCATAATGGTTTTGAAATAGATGAAGTATGTTTAAACAGTTGATAAATATGATAAGGTTGCTTGTCAATTGTCAATAAACATAATATACATAATGTTGAGAAACATGACGTGTTTCTTTCTCAAATATTCTTTACTAATCGACTTATTTTATTTAGTCTGATTTATCTGTTACCGAATCTGAACGTTCATTCAAAGATAAGAAGAAATTTTTTGAAAGTGGTTTTCAAGATCCTGTTCCAAAACCAAAGCGTAAGTTAGCACATAATACTCAAACATGAATATTTTATATTTTAATTTTTTTCTTATTCTAACTCTTTTTAGCTCGACAATTCAAATACATTACAGAACATGAACTACAACAAATGAAACAAGAAGAAGGTTTGTATTTAGGTCATATATTATGTCTATATAAACATCGAAATATAATCGCTTGAAATAAGTAGAAAAAATTATTTTTTTATGCTAATTTTTTAGAACAGAAAATAAAATCAATGAGTCCTACTGAATTTTTGACACGTACACAAATCAATACTGACGACGATCATACACAACAACTACAACATCAAATTTATCAGCCAACACAACATACATTAGCAAAGTAAGATTTTTTATTGCTTGAATAAAATGTATAGTATTAAAAATTCTAAAAGAATTTAGTTTATTTTTTATTTTTTATAAAAGTTCCTTTTCATGAAAAAACAAAAAAATTCTGTACTTCTGTATCGTAGATTCATACCTATTATTAAACGTGTTCGTTTAATACTACCAGCAAAGTTTACACCAATGATTCCGTGAGTTTTCTCATCAAATTTTGCTTTTGAGGTAGATATTTTATTTAACATTAAGTTTAAGAGAATAATGAGGGTTGCTTTATTTAAAATTGACATTACAGAAGAATCACAATCGTTAATGAACGAGAAAAAAGAAAAAAAATGAATTAAATTTTTGCAGTTGTTTTTTTACTAATAATTCGTTGTTATTTTTTTGTAAAATACGTAATTTTATTATTCGCTTAGTGTCATTCTACGATTTGTCTAGAATTTTTTTCTGATGTGTAGATAATAGTGGGAAGTAAATAGAGTTAGTTCTAAAGCTTTAACGATCTAAATTCGACAATGTCCGAACTATATTCAATACGGACGAAGTGTATCTTTTTGTTCATTATTTTGCTTCTCTAACTTGATACTTAAAAAAAAATATTTTCTCACAACAATTATCAAATAGTTCAATGATGGTAATAGTAAAGAAAGCTTCTTCTTTTTTTATGTACTCAAGCTTACTAGAGACATTTGGTTTTAAATCAGAAAGAGAATTCACTTTATGTTTGATTTTTATTTTTGTTTTTATTTCGTGGTAAAACTAGAACGAGGGGATTTTAAATTTAAAGCTTTCGTAACTCTTTCTGCTGTATAATTTTCTTATGATCTTTTAGATAAGTTGAATGTTTCTATATTAAAATAATCTGTGTATACTTTTTGTTTTTTAGAGAAGAAAACAATGATGTACTACTGCGAAAACCAAGAACGGATCGTATTACTAACAGGTAGATCATATTTATTTTTCTTCGTATTGTACTTAACAAGTCTAAGTGAAATAGTATTAATATTTATTTATTAAATCATGTTTATATCATATTTAATGATTATTGTTATTATTGTATTTAGAGTAACTTCATTGGAACGTGATACTGCCACAGCACAAGCTCTATTATCTAAATTTGCTATTGGTAAAAACTTTTTATAAATTAGTACTTTATCATTTGTTTACTCATTTATTTTTTTCTTCCTATTTTTCTAGATTCGACCATGACATAAGATACCATCGTAAGAACAATACTGACAATCACAACAATAACAACAATGATTTTATGTAAATTAGAATAATATTTGTCAAATATTATGGACTTTTTTTGTTTTCTTCTCTTTGTTTCATTTTTTTTCTTCTTGTTTCTTGTTTCGTTTCAATTCAATATTATTATTCTGATCTCTTATCATTTATTACGCAATACGATCTAATCAAACATATCTGTGTATGTGTGTTTTTATATCTGTTTATATTTATAATATATGCAATTCATTCGTGTATCTATGTACATAATAAAAATAAACTGTTTAAAACAGTGAGGAAACGTCTGTTTTCCTTGCTCAATATAATTATCTGAAAAAAGTGTAGTTTTAGATATCAGATGAATGATGAGATTTAATTTTTTTCTTCTTGTACACTTGTTCTAGTTTCGGCCTTTTTTTTTGTTTTCTGCAAACCAAGATTAATGCCCTCCAAGTCGTTCATATTTATTGAAACACACCTTGTTTTATTTATATATGACAAACAGCAGAATAATTGTCAAATGAACTCTCATTTTTTTTTTGTTTCGTCCGTTGTTTTCTTTTCTTTATTATTGTTGTTGTTGTTGTTGTTTTTCTAACTACGTAAAAACTTTTTTTGTTAAATATAAATTCGTAAAGAAAATATAAAATAAAATGTGAAATAGTTTATAACGTTTACTAAGTATAAAGATGTTGGTAGAAAATCTTGTATAACACAGAAATCTAATCAATCTTTAATAATGAACACTCTTTGATAGAGACTTGTCAATAGTCAGTTTTAAACTGTTACTTAAATATACTATGATGAGTAAGCCCCAGTGTTTGTTATTTTTAAAGTAGATTTATCTTTTCGTTCTAACTATTTTACATTGAATATACTATAGTTAAAGAGTAGGTGTATACAAGAACTGGAGAAGTTACTCATATTTCTTCTATGTACTAAATCATGGCGTTGTATAACTGTATCAGCGAGATATTGGATTATACGTTCACTCTTGAATTCAGACAAAATCTTGTTTCATCATACATTAGATAACGCTACTAAAATGTATCATTTGAAAAAGTAAAAATAATTAAAAGTGTCAACAAACAAAAAAAAACTTGTGTATACAAGCAACATATTTTGAGAATATAAACAACATATTCTCTGCTTTTAACCGTTAGAAAAATCTTTGGATTTAAATAAATAGGATTTAATTTTTATTCTGGCTATTCTACACAAAAAAAAAATGATTGGGAAGATTGAGTACTTGAATTGAGTTTTTTAATTGGACTAGAATTGAAAATGACTAGGCTCGTACTGCTGATGGATTTCGAATGTAAACGTAGGCAACTGAACTTGCTCTTGGAGAAGTTGTCGTTCGTGGTTCGGCATAATTTGATACACGGGTTACTCCTGGTGGAAATGGATCAACTTTTGAATACGAAAAACGAGATGTCGAAGTTGCTGGAGAAGGTGTGGGCGTTGCAGTTCGTGTATTTGTCATTGATGGCCGTCCAGTTGAATGAAATGGAGAACGAGACCGTTTTAACATTACGGGAATATGATATACAGGTTCATTTTTATGATTTACAGTTGACGAAAGTTTTGTACCATTATTACGTGAATAAGAGTTATCATGTTTCGTACTTGAAATATTCATACGCGATGTTTGTCTTCCTGTTGTTGTCGGTGTTGGCGTTCTAGTAGGATTGAATGATGAACGTCGATTTAATTTTGTCATATTTTGTGGTTGATATTTTGTAAAATCTGAAAATTTATTACCACCCGATGATGTTGACAAACGAGATGATGATGATAAACGAGATGATGCAGCCGAAGGTGTTGGCGAATCGTTGGAATGATAATGGTTTTGTGATGAGGAAAAGAGTGTTGATGGATCAAATTCATATTTTGTATGCTCATTTTCTTGATCGTTATTGAATAAAGATGATGTTGATTGTTTATTAAATGATTTATTATCAGTAGAAGACAATTTATCTAATGGTACTTTAATGTTTCTATTATTATAAGATTCATTTTCATGTTTTTTTATTGTCACATTATTAACATCTCCATCTTCATCTTCGCAAACATGATTAAATAAATCTGATAATATAAAATATCGTTTACATCTTTGACATAGTTTCTTTTGATCGGTTGACATCCCTGAAAACAATGAATATCATGAACAATAGGCAATAACAAGAAAACGACGGGTTTTCTCTGGCTAATACATTAATTATTTACAGAAATAGCAGATGGATATCAACAAATAATTTTCAAGAAATGAAACAAGAATATTAGAAGTAGCCTGTCTACTGAACGGATTATAGAACAACATTGTCCGACATCAAATACCATTTTAAAAGTCACTTTAAAAGTAGTCATGATCAGCAAAAGAATTTTTAACTTAGTAATAAGCGCTAGTCGTTTCATTTTAAATGAACAGCTTATATAATTTTACCTTGAAAATGCATCATCGCTTGAGCGAATGACGAAAAAAATGAGCTAAACGTTTCTAATCATCTATATTCTCACTAATTTTGAGGATTAGGCGTACCGTTCATTCACTATAGTGTATTTCGTTTAATACTACTTGGTAAAAGTTATCTATCTTAGCTTGATATTTGCCATATGGACATATTAGTATAATATGTTATACTAATTAGAGTAGTCATAGTCATTCGAACCGACTTTAACGTATATAAATTGACTTTTTAGAATAGTAAATAAGGAAAGAAAGCCATGTATGTGAGGTTGTATGTTCTCTTTATGATATCTTATATCAACACAGCACTCTTATATAACATTAAACCATAGACGGCGGAGTCTCTATACTCAAAAGGGTCAAGTCTCTGATTTTGGCTATAAAAAATCTTTTTTCTTTCATATTTTTGTTTTTACTTTATAGAGTAGTAGATAGTCTCATCAGTTTACTTCATTCTATTTTTTTGTCTAGCATTTTGTAGTTATAAAAAATAATAGTCAAAAATTAAACTATGTTCAAAAATAAATTTGGCTTTTTCCACGAGGAGGAGGAAGGCATTGCAAAGAAAAAATGTTCAACCTACCCTACACCTGATTTGTTCTGCTTTCTGCCTTAAAGATCGCATGGAGAAAAAAATTAAACAAGTAGATGAATAGTATCTGAGTAAAAATTATTTTTTGTCATAACTCAAGTAGATGTGTGTGCATTTATAAATAGTGCAAATGTGTGTATGTGTACTAAAAAGATCATAGCAGATTTAACATAGTTAAAGAATATGTCATCAGTTTACATGCACTATGCGTAAGTAAAAGAGCGATCTTTTTTAAAAGCAAATAACGTTTCAATTAGCACCATGCATTTTTTCGAACTAAAATATGAAATACGAAACTAGTACTTATTTCATTTTGTTTAAAAGAAAACAGAATGGCACCAAAGAAGGACGGACGTGGCCAGCTAACTCTTTTACCAGAGTGAAAGTCCGTTACCGGTTTTCTGCATTTTATTTCTCATATAATTTTCGAATGACGAAACATCCACAACTTTGAAACATCTTAAATTAAAAAGAAAAGTGTGTTGAAGACTTCGAGATGTTCACGCACTCTACACGATCTTTCATTTAAAAACTTAGATAAAAATACAAACACCTACTTTCCAAACTTATATCCGAAAATGTTGATGTTTGTATTTTTATCTAAGTTTTTGAATGAAAGATCATGTAGAGTACGTGAACATCTTGAAGTCTTCAACACACTTTTCTTTTTAATTTAAGATGTTTCAAAGCTGTGGATGTTTCGTCATTCGAAAATTATAAGTGAAACAAAACGCAGAAAACCGGTAACGGAATTTCACTCCAGCAGTAGCGTTAACTGGCTACGCTCGAAAGGAACAAATGAAACTAAATGTGTATGTTCATCGTTAAGTTAAATATTATTTATAATTATTATTACCGTTTAATGTTGATGATTTTGTTGATGGAGAAGGTGATGTAGTTGTATTATATTTTCGATCTTTTGCTGTTGTGGTATATGTTGAACTGTTTTTCGGTCCAAAACGTCGGCATAATGTTTCATGATCAAATTTATCTGATAAACAAATATATTCATGACAATAATTACATTTTACATGAGATGATGACGTAAATATATTTTCATCATTTTTACTTGTCTTCGAATTATTATTAGCATTTCTCATTGTATACATTGACGATGGATATTTTCGATTTAATTTACAGTGTGCTTCATGTTGTAAAAGATTTTCGGACGATGCTAATGGACGAAAACAATATTGACACGATTCAATACGATGATCAGCCATTGTTCGTCGTCTTAATCGTGTAGGAAAGCTCGATGGTTGAGTTTGTTGTTTTTTAAATCTATACTCTTGTGTATTTTTATTATCCTCATTTTCCTCATCTGAATCAAATCGAGTAAACGATGATTGTGGTGGTGTTTGACGACGTTTTTTACTATTTTCTAACCATTCAAAATGCGTATCATTCGGTTTTGATCCATTATTATTTAAATTTGTTCCAACATGTATTTTTGTTCGATGTGCAGCAGGTGATAATGGACGTCGTTGTGATGAAGTACGTAAACGACTAGGATTTTGACGTGTTTCATTTAAATTTGGAAAATGAAATCCACTATCCATATGACTTGGACCACTAGCAAAATGATTCCAAAAAAAATCGTCATTAAAAAATTTTTCAAATACAGCTTTAGTTAACATTTCAAACATTTCAAATGGATTCGATGATGTTGTACGATTGAACATGCTTGGAAATTTTCTTGTATTAAATAGTGATGTTGTAATACTATCATTATCATCATCACCATTTATTGTGGCACTACCATTATCATTCATACTGAAAAAAATAACAAATATATTGTGTTTAAATATTGACATTTAGTTTTCATTGTTTTAGTCATAACTATTTTACGAAATTTGATTACTAAGACGACAAAAAATAATTCAATTTTAACAGATATACGGTGAGAGAATTATACAACATTAAACTTGTATTACAAGGATAAATTATCTATTTAGGATAGATAAAAGAAATAATTCAGTATTCAAATACTAACCCCCAACTATTACCCCATTTGGATCGATTTCGATGTGTACGTCTTGATTGTTGATGGGGCATTTTTCTTCGTTCATTTCTTAAATTAAAATCAAATTCATCCGAATTTATTGTTGAATTATGATGATCATCATCACTATCCTCATCATCATCTGTATTGTGTTCATCCGAAAAATTAAAGAAAAAATCATCGTTCATTGATGTACCAAATGAATCAAAAAATGAATAAGGAAATCGTGAATGTCTTGAAAATAGATTATCATCATCCATTCGATGAAAAGGAAATCGTCCATTATTATTTCCATTTGTTGTTGTTGAAAATGTAAAATGTGGTTCACCCGAATGATGAAATGATGATGTAAATGTTGTTTGAAAATCACTATTTGATGATTTTTGTTGTTGTTGTGTTGGAGTAGATTTTGTTGTTGTTGATGTTTTTGTACTTGTGGCATCTGTTTGTTGTAAATCATATGTTCGTCGTTTATTAGCATCACTCAATGTTTCATAAGCTTTATTTACTTCTTTAAATTTTTCTTCAGCACACGGTTGTGAATTTTTATCCGGATGCCATTCTCTTGCTTTTTTATAAAATGCTTTTTTAATTTCTGTATCATTTGCATTTTTTTTAATACCCAAAACGGAATAAAAATCAAGTGTTTGAGCTACCATTGCATAATCTATTCTTGACGTATTAATCCATTTACATACATGTTTTTAGAAAAAACAAATAAACAAATGGCTGTCATAAGTCAAATAAAAAGAAACTTGTCTTCAAGTTTCATGTGTGTGTGTTGGCTTATTATTAATTTTTGATTTTCTTCTTTTTTTTTTTTTTTACATTTTATTGGTATACCATACAATTGTATTTTATTCCTTTCGTGGTACTTCTAAAATATAGGAAAAAAAAAACATTCGATAAAAAGAATATCTATAAATAACCGATTAGAAGTTGCAAACACTTTTTTTCTTTTTTTTTTACTTTTATACTTATTCTATATATATATAAGGCATAAAAAGAACAAAAAAAAAAAAAAAAGTCTTTCTGAACACAATTCTTAAAAATGAAAATTTATTTTATTTAACTTTTATTTTTTATGCATATGTATTTGATGATAATAATGGGAATAAAAGATGACGATGAACAAGTAGATGAAGGTTTGAAATAAAATATGTAAATTATAATCAGGAAAAATATTGTATAATCGATAAATGTGTATAAAAACTCAATTATAGATTATAATAAAATTGAAGAAGTAGGAGGACAGGTCATTTTTTTGATAGTGAAATAAAACAAAAAAATTTGTGCTTAAATACAAGTACAAAATTGAGTGCTGTTAAACTAATTTAGTGAATGTTATAATTTTTCATGTAATAACCAAGAAAAATAAACATTTATGACGATCAGTTGAACTCTTTTTATAACAAATGTAAAAAAAAAAAAATACAAGGATAAAAGAAATGTGTTGATAATATGATTTTTTAGCGATAATATTGATTGAAAAGTTAAATGTTTTTTTTAATGTCTTTTGTTTATAAACGGTAAGTGATTAACGAAATATCTGATGCATCGAGACTCTCTATCAATATCCAAATTTTTTTTATTTATTAAATTGACAGCTCCAAGGTTTAAGTGGAAAAACAGCGATGTATTTTCTTTTTTATCTCGGTATAAACTAGAAGGTGAACATACACAATATATACATTATTAACTGTAGAAATAACACATGGGTATTTTTTTCAGGTTAGAAAAACTATATTTTGTAAACAAAAAAAAACAAATATGTGTTTTAGTCGAGTTTTCTATATTAGTAGTTTTAATATAGTAGTTTGAAATAGCTAATGTATGTTATTTTTTTATGTATTATTTTGTCTGAAATCAAAATAATAATAATAATAATAATATAATAATAGATCAAAATAACTCTATATTCAGCCACTATAGTCACATATTTTGAGAAAAATATTCGCTTTTTTTTTTGCTTCTCTTCAATTCAACGGTATAGGGAAAAATTCTATCTGTGACCGTCATTCTCCAGCTAATAAGAAGAATTTCTAAAATTCTAAAGAAAAGTATTTTATTTTCATCTACAATGTTTAAAATCAAAATGGTAACAGTATACTACTAAAAAAAACAAAAACTAACTTTAGAATCCTTAGAACTAAATTTCTTCTTAATGGACTATCTAACAACGTACAACGATTATTCTGTGAAGAAATATGCATAGAGAAAAAAAGAAAAAAAAAAATCGCATTTTTGCAAATCAGCACAAAAAGAAGAAAAAGAAAAAAGGAGAAAAAAGAAACCAGTAAGACTAGATATAGAATGTCATATGATGTTACTAAATAGACTGTTGTTGAATCAATCTGTACAGAAGAAGAAGAAGAAAAAAAAAAAAACGAAAGAAAATCTCATGATCATCTGTTATCTTTTCAATGAACTATAGAATAATTGGGTTCCATATTGACATGCACAGGTTACGTGTATTTTCTATCTTTCTCGTTTTTAACCAAAATATGAGACAATAATGTGCGTGTGAGTACCATATACTGAAAGTAATTAGCCGACATAATAAACGATACTTTACCAGTAAGCAAAGAATAAATAAACCAATCACAATCTTGACCTAACAACATGAATTAGTTCTACTAGTTTATTATAATAAAAAAAAGTGATTTTCTTATTTTCAATAGAGATGTACATTTTCTTATTTTATACTATAATTTTTGAGGGTCATACGTGATTTTTCTTACACTCACTCTATCAAAGATAATATATGATGTTAAAAGATTTTTAGAAATTGCAACAAATATTTGACAGATAATTGACAGTGAGTATATAGTTTCTTTAAAAAATATTATGTGTCTACATAAAGAGATGGAATGAAATAAAATGAACCATCATGAAAATATTTTAGGTTCATTCATTACATATACACACACACACACACACATACAAACATTTTTGATATCAAATTTAAAAAGGAATGTTGGATAAAAATTTATTTTTATTTATTTATTTATTTTCTTGCACGTGTAAGTATGTGATGGAAATATAATTTCTAAAAAATTTTTTTGAATATTACGTAAAATGGGCGATAATTAGAAAATGGTGAATTGAACAAATAAACAACAGATAAAACAAACAAGAAGTTTTACTATCATCTAAATATTGGCAAAAATCAAGTTTCATTTTATTTTTATTTTAAAAAATGAAAAAGAATAAGAAAGTGCAGATAGAGACAGATGTCTCTTATATGAGTTCTAGGCCAACCGTATACATATGATGTGAGAAGGGTAAGATGATAGAACTGTTTTCATCTCTTCTTTTTTTTTTGCTCGATATATACGATGTTATGATCAAATGAAATGTATCTTGCATATGCTATAAACATATTTATTTTTTATTATATGATTAAAACCCAGCACAAGTATCCATACCAGAAACAAACAAAAATATGTTTCTATTCTTGTACAGTCGAAATATTTTTTTTTCTTTCATATCTTCTACTCAATTTATTGTCCTTATTATTACATAATAACCATATGCACATAGAGAGAGGTAGAGAGAGAGAGAAATAGCATTATCCTACACAAAGTAATCAAAATGATGCAAGACGAATAAAAAAAAAATGAAATTTTTGTACAAGATGTCACTTATCGTATCATTGATAAGGTCTATAAAATAAAAAAATGACCTTATTCAATATAATTGGATAATGTCCAAATACAAAAGGAAAAAAACAAAGGTACTAAATAGGCAATCTAAATATTTAGTAAAAACATTGCAGTTAGTCAGCATAATTATGGAGTAAAAGGTAAAATAGAATGTACCTCTGCGTAGGGGAAAAAACATGTTTTGTGTTTGTTATGAATAATGAACGATTCTGAAATCTAAATACGATGAGAAATTAAGCAAAAATATTCAATCAATAAATTTATAACATTCATAACTTCTTACCGTATACATATAATGTGAGAAGGGTAAGATGATAGAACTGTTTTCATCTCTTCTTTTTTTTTTGCTCGATATATACGATGTTATGATCAAATGAAATGTATCTTGCATATGCTATAAACTAAAATTAAACTATATTAATATTAGAAATGTGAACGCTATCATCATTAATTGCATTTAAAAAGGTAAGAGTGAATATGTCCAAAGTAAAGAAAATTAAAATAAAAAGAATTGAACAAAAATGTTTCGAATCATTCTTAAATAGTTAAATTCTTAATAAGTACTAACATACTTCGTGTTTTTAACTCACAGTCTATCCTTCGAACTTCATTTAAACTGGAAAAGTTTAACAATCGTAGTATTATTTCTTTTTTTTATAAAAAAAAAAAAATTAATTGTATTTTTCTTACTTTTATTTTGAACGTTAAGAATGAGACTGAAAATACACATAACCACAAGATTGATAAAGAAGTTCTGTACTAACTAAATAACTTAATTTTATTATAAAAAGAAAAGAATAAATGGTTTATTCTTTTTCTTTTCTCATTTGTGCGTGCGTGTATGTGTGTATATGAGGTACAAGGTCAATAACGACAAGGTCTTCGAACAAAAAACGATATCAACCAAAACTTTTTAGAAACATAAAAGGAAAATCAAGTATAAACTTACAAACAAATACTTTTAAAAGAAAAAAAGTAATCAACAACTGTTGTATGCCATCAATAAAACAATTAGTTTATTCTTTAGTCTAATTCTCTTCTTTTTCTTAACGATCATATTTCTCAACAATACGTTGTTATTCAATCAAAAAAAGTGATTTATAGATCCAAAAACAAACAAAAATTTGTGCATACTGTTATCATGAAAAGATAAGGACAATATGTTGATATTATCACAAAATGGGTGTTAGTATACACAATGTTTGTCAATAAACTTGAACTAATAACAACTAGATCATTCAGGTTACAGCTAGTATAAAAAAAAAAAACGGTTACGTTACTTTTTTTATTATCTACTTGATTATTTCTCTATACTAGTTCTTCATTTCTCTTCTTATTGACTGTACAGTATGCACATTTAAATCACCAACTGTTTTTTCAAAGAAAATGATCCGTTCTACTCGTTCATTCAATATCTGTGTAAACTCAATTAGTTCCATTTGACCCTGTCTTTAATCAAACCACATATGAATGTTTCGTATAAGAAGAAAAGAGAGGTCACGGCAATGCATACTAAAAAAAACTCTTAACTGTTTTCACAATGTAATCTGAATGGCATATATCACGGAATACCGTACAAAAGTATACTGTTTTCAGCGTTTTCGATTAGATGAGGGAAAATCGAGGAATTTCCCCACCTTGTTTGAAATGAATTACTCACTTGAGAAAAAAATTTACCCAGTTCATACAAAAATTTGTTCACTCAGAAACGTTGACTTTTTTTCGTTTTTGGTTATCACCTAAATTTTTTGAGAAAAAACGTACTCAGAAAATTTTTTGGAGTTGCTCAATAAAACTTCCCTCACCTCGCCACAGTTATATCGAAAACGCTGACTGTTTTGAACACGTCACAGTTATCATAGAAAGCCTTCTAGTTTCATTCTCGAGAGTTCAAGAGTGCGGAAAAGGCCTCTTTTTAGCGTCGTTGAGTAGAAAATTGAACACAAACATTCATGTTATGAAGGAAAGGCGTGATCGATAAAATACCGTAAAAACTGTTCCATACTAAGTTTATTTGAGATCGTCCCTTCGCATAACCATACAATCATCATAGAACAAAAGAACTTTTTCGTGAAGTGAACATTAACGTAGACATGGCTATACAACAAGTAAAAAAATAATATTTTTTTTGCAGTTGAGAGTTATTATTCCAGAGAGGGAACAATCACGATCAAGGTTTATTTAGAAAAGAACGAATAAAATGAATTCAGACTCTCAATCTCAGAAGTCAATCAAATTACGAAACATTTATAATTGTGGAAAGAAGTGTAACTCAAAATTTTGTGGAAATTCTCTTTTTGCATTGAAGCAAAACACTGAAAAAAAAACGTGCTCCTTTTAGAACATCACGCAACTAAAGCATGCGTATGGTAGCGAACCGAGAAAATTTGTTATTGTGCTTTACTATATCTTATAAGAGAATCAGAACATTGAATAATCAGCCTAAACAGAACGAGCATAAAGCGCTCTTCCAGTTAGTGCAATCTTTCGGATATACTCACTGCAATAAAACGATATTTGAATAACCTTTTATCTTTCTACGATCTTAATAGTGAAGTTTCTCTATGAGCCAAATCCTCACACCCCTTCTGCTATATTCGATGTAGAGAGCATTACATAATGAATTTTCGCATTAGTCAGTCTATAGTTAATAAATTGTGTCACTTGTAGTCTATATTAATAACAATAATATTAACAAAGGATATAAAGAAGCACATGCTTAAGGTGACGTGACAGGAGAAAAAAGAAAACGAGCCACTTAAATTATTCATTGACACTTTAAAGTGTTTCCTTTAGTGTCAAGCTTACTTCGATTTCAAACATCTCTATATTTTATTTACTTAGAGTTCTTTATTTTACATTGTTTACATTGTCATCATCTATACCAGCCTGTTTTCACTCAATTCGATTATTTCCTCAGAACCGACATCTTTATCACCTCGATTAATATACAGTGCTTTATATCTATATAAAACCCATAAGATTTTTGTTTGGTTGATCTACTAATCGATTCGTCACAGATCATGACGACTGCGATTTCATGGTGCACAATCGCGATCGTGCACTATGAAATCGTATTGTTTTCTCCAATCGACATTACCTGTGGCAGATCGATTAGCCAATCAACCAAAAAAAACCTTCAAGAGAATGTTCTTATTAGCTTATTGATAATAGTATTATACGAGTAAATTTTGTTCCACACATATTGATCATTGAATATTCACAGCAAGTATATATGTATTCTGCATGCTTGAGACCATTTTCGATTTCCTTTGTTGTGGAAACCGCCTCCCATTACGTTTTGATACTGTATTAGCAAGGATTCCTCGCGAGATCTGCTAAAATCGATTATAGTACACAAGTTAATTTATTTGGCAGTATAGAGTAATAAAGAACAGGAGCGACAAACGTGGTATGTTTGCAAAAAGGAATCGATAGTAGTGACATCCAAGTAGTCAAAACTCAACATTTTATAAAGTATCTGAATTGTTAGATACTGAATCTAATCCATATCAATATCAAAAACTCATTGTACATTTGAATATGATCTGACATCTAAAAAGTGAATGCTGTATACTTGTTAAAATACTTCGTCGTAAAGGCATACTTCTAAAACATCATGGAGACTTACTTTGACATTGTCAAAAAAGAAAATCTTGATAATAAAACACCGTTTCAGTTTAAGATATCCAACATTTCGTAGGCAACCGGTTGAATTTAATTGTACTACTTTACTGTCAAATGAGTTTTACAGGATTAGGCATTAGCAACACAGTTGAAACATTTTAAAGTAAACTTTTACACGCTCATCTCCTTCTGTTTGTGATCCTCTTTATCTGTTCACAGTTTATAGATGCCGACTTCTTTCTACCTCAAAACTGTACCATTACTCCAAATTTAACAGGACTCCTGCTTAGTTTATTGGTTGAAAGTAAATGATTTTAATCAATAACTGAACATGATGGTTCAATATCAAGGTCGTCCGAATGAATAGAGTGGCATGTCATTTGTTAATATATAGATAGATTTTATTTATTTTAGATCTATTTTTTTCCTCCTTATTATGGAACAGTTTACTAAATTATCTTTTTATCGTGATTCTATTGTAATGTGTTTTTTTGGCACAAATTTTCATTTTTTAACGCCAGTTTTGTATTTTTTTGATTATTAATTATTTATCCTGAATTTCTTTTATTTTTATTACTATTCTATTTTATCATGTATGATAAACCATGGTCGAACAAGCATCAGGTACGAAACGACATGTTCCAATTCATAAATCTTGACCTTCCATAACGGTTTACAATATTACATGCTTCAAAAATCCTGTTAATTCATCACATACAAGCAGACTATTTGAAAACGAGTGAAAGTTGTCACTTCAATACTTTTATTAATTTGTTTATTTAGACACGAATCGTACAGCTGAATTAGAAAGCCAACTTAAAAATTTACAAGAAGAAAATGAGAGACTACAGCAATTGCTACGTGCACGTAAATAAATATTTTCTTTCTATCTTATATTTCTATCTATATCGTCTTTCTTTCTATTTTAAGATGTTCGTAGTGTTGATCCATGTTCTAAAATACCATTATCACAAAGTTTTCCGTTTTATAAAGACAATACACGGGATGATAACTGCTCAACTCTTCCTACAACTTCTAAAGTTGGCAACAATTATTCGAACGACGATAATCAAACAACGGCAACAACAAATTCTAGTCCAAGACCTTCTTCCTCATCGTCAAATAATGGCAACAGCAGTGGAATCAATTTTGAGCATTCAGATATAACCCTTAATCAGAATACATTGAATACAACTAATCAAACGTCGACTCAAAATGTAAATTTCAATAATTTAGGACCAACAAATCAGCAAAACTATGTTGGACAAACCGTTTTAGGTAGTCAATCGAATATAACACCAAATTTTAACACAGTAATACAAACGAATGCAACGCCATTCGTTCAAAATAATTCCAACACATTAGTACAAAATAATACAAATTTAATACAACCAATTAATTTAGTTAATTTTAATACTGTTAGTCTAGACTCATTTCATTCGAGTTTAAGTTTAAATTCGTTTCAGCAATTACAACAACACGCTGGTGGTAGTCTGTTTTTTGCACCAAATGGAGTTGTTTATGTTTCATCAACATCACAAATTGGTTCAACATCAACAACAACAAGCTCTGTGATAAATACATGCAGTACTTCGACATCAAATATAACAACAACAACACTTAAAAATGAGATTGCAGACTCTTTGTCTCCATCATTAATTCAAAAATCATCATCGCCAAATTTATCTGATACGCAGGCGTCGTTTTCAAAATTTATTCAAAATAATTTTACCGACGCAAATTCGACATTTTCAAATACACATACTATTTTACCATCTTTAACGACGACGACTGCTACGACGAATCAGATCAATGAACAAAATACATATTATATTTGTCAACCAAAGCAACTAACTGAATCTACTTTTACAAATACAGTCTCACATCCTTCTACAAATTCATCGTCAATTATGACCAATACGCCAACAATAACTACTACAACCATAGCATCGCAACCGATTCGACCGAGACCGATCGCAGTTTCATCGACCAGTGATATTGACGGAAAATCAACTGATATGCATATGTCAAATGGAAATTTAAATAATGAAGTTAAAGATGAGTCTCCAGCAAATATGACAGGAAATGATGCTAATGCAAATAAACAAAAACAACCACGACCAATAAGGCCTAAACCCTCTACCAGACCGAACGCTGTACAGGTAAAATAATACTCTCTATTTTCTTTTAAAAGAAGTATGAGTTCTACCGTACACTTGATTGATTTGTACCGGAATACTTTCTTGTCGAAATCTGTTAAGTTTCAATAGTTCAACTCAATATGAGCACAGCCATAAATAAATAATACTTTAGTTTTCTCCATTATTGTTGATTATTCTTTTATTTCTAGGTTTACACACCAATAATTATCAACGATATGAAACCCACCAATTATATGCAGACAAATATTCAACCAATTAGTATGGCACATCAAATTCCCATACTACCGTCTAATACACAATCGAACACGTCGAATTATGGTACACCACTAGTCGTTCATTCCAGCAGCCAATCTTTATCGACTACGACGGCAAGCCTTCCAGCACTATCACCGCCAATAGAAAATTCTAAAACAACAAGTTTACTGCCGTTTGAATCAACATCGGCAAAGTTGATACCCACTACCAATACTAATAACAGTAATATTGCTACCACTATAAACAACACGTTAATCCGACCAAAATCGGTTGATGTTAGCAGTTTATCAACAGTAACATCGAATAATTCAAATAACATTTTAACATCAAATTCTTTATCATCAATGTCGAATAATTCATTGCCGACAGCTATAAGAAACTCAACACCAACAACGACGAGCACTTCCTCATGTAAAATCAAAAATGGAAAAGTACCGCGCACTCGTACGGGTTCGACAACATCGAGTCGTCGAAAAAAGGCAACTGATATTAGTAATGTTACCAACATGACAACGACATCAGAATCACAATTATTACCGATACAACCCAAAACATCGGCACCTGCACTTGTTCAAATAGCACCGAATCTACAACGAACGCTTAGCACATCGGGTATGCGTCCATTAGCACCTGCTATACCCGGTACAAATCAACAACGATCATCGATGTCTAATACAACAGTAACAGCAAGTAAGAAAAATTCAAAAAAGAAAAATCCATCGAATTCTACAAAACGTTCGAAAACGATCGTTCAATATCATAATGAAAGTGTTCTATCGACTAATGCTGCTGCTAAAACGTTTCAGACAAATCCTCTTGTACCATCACGTCCGTCTTCTGTACAAGATTCATCTAACATGCTTTCACCTATTCAATCAACAGTTACACCTACACGACAGCAGGATCAGTCACCATTATCTCAAAATCATTTACAAGAAGAAGCTGCAAAAATATTTCAAAAATTAAACCAAGATATTTTATCGACAAATTTAATTTTACCAGAAGAACAACAAAGTGTTAATCTATTGTTGACTGAAGAAGGATCAAAAGACACATCAGTCTGTCTTCAACATCAACAATCATGGACATCTTATTCAGCACAGCAGAGTGTTGAATCGTGCTCATCTCCAAGTACAATGGCAAAAACTCGCCAAAGTCTTAATCAGATTGATGTTCGACGTATCATTACAAGTTCATTATGTGAAACAAATAACATTCTCACACCATCATCGAATATTCTTCAACAACGAACAACAGATGCCACGTTTCAAACAATATCAAATAATCATCGGCCCATTCAAGTACACAATATTTATTCTCAAAGCATGTCTACGAGTAGTATGCCAACATTAGACGAATTTTTTAATTCAAATGAACATGTTGGAGATTTTGAAAATTTTGATGTTGCAGCATTAACAGAAACAGAAGGTTTAAGGAATGATTATGGTGTTAGCGATCAATTAAACATTTTATCAGCTACAACAACTGCTGATACATTAAGAGCAGAAGTAAATAATATGAAAAAGCTTGATAGTATCGTAAACGAAAATGCTAATTATGCAGGAAATGATGTTGAAAATGGATGTGAAGACGATGGCGTAGTTGATGATGATGACGTAATTATAAATTCTTTTAGTGAACAATCATTTGAAGAATTGGTCGAACATTTTGATCTTGAAACAGTTAAAGCAACATTTAATCAGTTGGCTGTTGATAATAATGATACAACATTAGCTAGTTTAATAGAGACGGTGAACGATGATACATCCATTGTTGATAAAGAACAAGAACAGCATATCGAACAGTTTTTACAAGGTATATTGTGTGTGACACTATTTCGGTTTTTTAGTACAAAAATAGGTTATTTAGATCATTTTACTAAGCCTATGTATTTCGATCTCTGAGAGCACCGTAGTTATAAAAATAATCTATATTTTTAAATTCATTCATTTTTACCATTTTCTCTATTTTTATTTTAGGATTTCACGGAACAGATAATTTGTTACAATTAACAGCAAACGATAATTCAATGTATTATTTTAGTGATCATCAGTCTAATTTTAACAATCATCATCAAAAAACGTCTTTAATGAACAATAGTATATTAGTGACAACCGTTCCATTGCAGACAACTATCGATTATACCACATCATTCCAGCCAACAACATGGTATAGTTCAACGACTCCGACTACTCGTCTGATGCCTGACGAGGGAACACAACTAAAACCAATTAACATTGAACCATTAGCATTTCAAGAAATTCTCAACGATTTACAGCGGTCAGTTCAACCTGTTATCCATCAGACGTTGTATTCACAACAACATCAACCGTCTCTCACTTCTTCCCCACAAGATGCAAATATTATCTCTCAGGATTTTCCTTACTTAATACCATCAACTAATATTCAGCCGGCTATTATCAAAACACCATTAGCAAATTATTCATCGTATATGGGACCAACCACAACTCCACCAACTATTTTGACTGTACCATTATTAATAGGAAACGAATCAATATCAAACTCAGATCAAATTATTATTCAACAAGAATCATCATCTGCCACATACAATATCGATAATCTAGATATACAATTGAGTTATTTTCAAGAACAACAAGATCTTTTACAAAAACAATTGGAAGAATGTCAAACATTAGAATTTCATGCGAATCAATTAGATCTCAATGAGTTAAGTGCCACTTCTATTGAAGTAAACACTGAAGTACAACAACAAAATGTATCGGTTACAGATTCCATAAATCATCTTGCCAAAGAACAAACATTATCGCCATTACAGCTCGTACAATCATGTTCATTACAATCATCTCCTAATTACCGTTTACAATCACCAAAATGTCGTAAATCACATAACAAATTTAGCTCACCTTTACCGCGACCCTCTTCTCAGCCAGCACCGCTCACATCGAAATATTTGTACACTGATTCACCACTAATCATATCAGAATTAACATCATCCTCTCCTAATAAAATTTTCAATCAAGAACAATCGGCTACTGTAACAATGGATGAAATGAATTTTGGTTGGTCAACAAACGATAAGAAAAAACAAACTTCATCATTCGAACAATTATCTGTTAGTCAAACTTCAACAGATGCTGACGTCTCTTTTTTTGAACAACAGTGTTATGATAATCAAAATCAGTTGCTATTATCAGGAACAGTAACAATACAAGCTGATTTTACTGAAAAAAACGAATCAGGAACTCAAACATTTAAGGAAAATTCTGAGAATTTGTTTGAGACTAAAAATAAAGATTTATCTTCATCAGATAACGAAGTTACAATGTTACCTATGACATTCGATGCTGATTCATTTTCGTCACCCTATCCAATGGCTACATCTAATTCGACCATACATAATCGGTCTCAATATTACATTGATCGTAAAGAATTGTCAACTCCCATTCGTTTATCATCTACAATGAAAACAACAACTCAAGGATTACCTGCCTTTGCTCAACCGTCATTATCTTCGAAACAACACGCAATAAGTTTAAATTCATCGTGTACATTAATCGATATTGATTCTTTATTATCACCAACAAAACAGAACGATCTTGCTAAAACAACATTATTTGAAAGAGATAAAGACGATGCTGATGACATAGTATCATATTCTCCTATTTCTGATACAATGGATGCATCCGTGTTTGCTCATCATACAGTAGCTAGTTCACCAGTTTCATCACCATTACCTGTTTCAACACAATCAGCATCGTCAACAGTTATGCAGCCAGTTCCTTCACAAGTATCAAACAAACCCTGTATTATATTTGAGCCAATATCATCACCATCAAGTGCATCATCACCGAATCATTCGCCATTGAAATACAGTAGCATAAGTAGTAACTGTGACGATGATAATAACGATTCACCACATCGTTCCATACTTTGTACAGCATTTTTAAATAATACAACAGATGTTATGCTACCCTTATTATCAACAGTTGATCTGAGTAAACCAAGAAATGATAAAAATAAATTATTTTTTACAAATTCTGAAAATGATAAATATCCAACGCTTGAAACAGTGGATAACGATGGAATTTTAATCGTTGAAGAAACGGGCAAAATAACGGATACATATACAAAACGAATAAGTTTTGATCAAAATGGATCTGGTTTAAATAGTGATGATGATTTAGAACAGTTATTATTAGAATCCAATTTACAACCTCAACAATGTAAAACTGATGACGAAATTCTTGATTTAACTAATACTGTTATCGAAACACAAGGAGTTATTATGGATATTTACTCAAAACCAACGATTAGTTTTTCTCTTGATGATCTTGATTCATTAGTCGATCAACTAGAAAATGATAAACCTATTGATGAAATAACGAGTTTAAAAAGGAAATCAATATCGACTGCTCCATCACTCATTTCACTATCGGATGATGAAAATGAACATTGCTCATCAGCTACCAAGAAACGTCGTTTAACAATACGATCCAGTACGGAATCAGTTAAACGTTTATCTTTTCCACTGATGGATAATTTTTATAGTCCAGTATCGATGGACGAAAATGAACATGAACAAATAACAACAAGTACCGTGATAAATAAACATCAGTTATTAGAAAATATTTATTTACGTTATCGTCGTCAACATTTTATTAATCAAGTAAGAAGTGTCAATTTGAGTATTGTTAGTCTTCGTAAAACAGATTCTCAACATGGTGAATTAGAAGTTGAATTAGTTCCAAATTCAGACTATCAATCATTAATTTCAACGAATGGAAAGAAAGAAAACGATGGCCAACAACAGTTAATTGACCCAATCATTGAACAAAAAGTACGTTGTCATTTTTTTTGTTTTGTTTTAAAACACTATCTCTCTTAAAATTATCTGTAAAATATGTATTTTAGCAATCATCACCGGCAACTAAGCTAATTGAACAAATTCTGATGTCACCTAACGATGATGTAATATTTATACGTGAACAAAATTCTACGTTTAAAGAAGAAAGAAATCGAAAAATGAAAATTTCACCAAAAAATGATGGAATACCAAATTATGATGTGGAATTAGATGAACAGTGCACAAGTTCACCACCCATCAAACTGAAATATAAACAGGAAATGATGCATAAAACAACAAGCAGTTTAGAATCAACAACAACAATCAACAACAAAAATCGTTCTAAACAAGCCAATGTTAACGATGTAAGTTAATACAAATTCGATGTATGGATTACAAATCCTTATCCTAATGGAAGTACTTCGACGAGATTTATCAGTTTTTCAATTTCCGAATACTATATAATTATTTTTTGTTTTCAGATAAATTGTTCAGTGCTGCATGAACAAAAAGAAATAAATACAGTTAAAAGTGATAAACAATTGAATAAGAAACAGACGTCATCGAGAAAGCGAGACGGTTTAAGTCATAAAAAACGACGTAACGCTGATATAATGATGCTCAGTGAAAACTTAGCTTCTTATAATATTCCTGCTCAAGTAGTGGAAACAGAAAAAGAACAACAATCTGAAGACCAACCGTTAAAAACCGATTTAAATATCTTTGATTTATGCTTATCTGAAAACCATGACAATAAAATGACAGAACTAAGCAAAACATTGACAGATCAATTATCATTGAATAACTGTGTAAAGCATCGTTCAAAAAAATCAAATAGAAAACATCATCATCAACAGGAAATTACAGATAATCAAAACGAATCAAGCAGTAGAGAATCAACAAATTATGATGAAACTGTCAAATTTACAATAACTCCGTCACTATTACCTAGTGAATATAGCGAACGGCCACCTCTACGCATAACAATTCGAAAGAAAGAAACACAACCACGGCCATCAACAAGACATGGTCCATCATCAACAACAACCATGGCTGAAATAATTCATGTTGAACATCCTGATTGTAATTTAGGAACAGTATTAACTTCATCATCACTACCAAAAACAATAAAGAAAAGATCAAGAAGTAAGAAATATATGGCCAGTGAAACAAATGAGACTGCTCATATTCAAACAAAAAATCAAGTAAGTATCATTTTTAGTTGCAGCTGGCACAAACATTTCTTTTACGAATATAATGAATTTTGCACCTATATGAAATTCCATATAGCTGCAAAATTCATTATATTCTTAATATCAAAATCGTTGCCCAGTCTGCAGAATGTTGAACGTTCCGTTTACGTTTTGTTTTTTTTTGTTGAAAAGACGATTAAATTTTGTCGCTCAGAAGTGTTATTGTATTTAAGAGTACTAAAGATTTGGTGTATAAATGATGAATCTAACTCTAGTACTTACATTATCAATTGTTGACTACTTAATCAGATAGACTATGCAGGAATTACTGTGGATTTTATCATAGCAAAGAAGAACCTAGGAATAATTTTTTCTTTTTCTAGGATACGCTACTTAGTGAACCAGAGACTCAAAGTCAATCTGATTTTCACGCCACAATCAGTGTAGATGATGAAAAAACTTCATTAGAGTCCGAAACGCCTAAAGGTTCGAAAACAAAAGTGAAAAAATCTAAAAAATCTCGGCATCGACGTGCTAGAACTAATCGTAGTCAACAGTCAAAACGTTCAACAAAAACAAAAGATCAGTTCGAGAATGAAGACGATAAACAGATAACAACTGAATATGCTGGATTGACAAGATTTGAAGCACAAATGTTCAATTGGACTCAAAAAACGAATCAACAACAACCACAACAGCATACGGTTGAACATGATGATACAAATGTAAATAACAGTGATAGTGATGTGATATTGATTAATTCTCCCGTAGGATCACCTTTGATACAACAACATAAAGTCAGGTTAAAAGAGGAATTGAAAATGAACAATGATACTAAATCATCTCCGATCATTGACGCATCGAATGAACAACTGATTGATACTACTGCTGCTACTGTTGATGTAGAGGCAAAGAAAGGAGATAACATATCAGAAACAAAATTTGATGATGGTATCGAAAAAGAAGTGTGTTCAAATAGCAATGATTCGAAGCTAAATTCGCAAGAAAAAACAATATCTCGTACAAGCACACCTCAAACACAAATATTTTCGGAAACATCTGTTTCTGTTGCTTCTCCGGCGCAACTGTTACCACCACCGCCTCTGATTCAGATTGAAGATAATCATTGCCAAGAATTACCATTAACAACATCAGCGTGTATTGCAGCATTTCCAGCTACTCAACATTCGTCTGTCTCTGATAAATTATTAACTAACTGTGATAAACGTTTAAATGATGAGTTAACGGCGTTAGCCACAAACCAAAGTAGACATAATGACATCGATAATTTTGTATATCATCCACATCCGAAACAAAAAGCAAAAAATTACCCTCGTCTATTAGATACTGCACATTTACCAATATCAGATCTAACACCGCCACCATCATTACCAATGGACAACACGAGATTAGAATATGGCATTAAAAATAGTTCGTATTCTGAATTACAAACATCATCCCATGGAAATTATTGTAGTTTTGTCAATAAATCGAAGTCACCATCTAAAACATTCAGATCTCTCTCTCCAAATAAAAAATCATCGCTGCAATCATCCTCATCTCATCGCGATATTAACAATAAAACTTCTCATAATAGCAATCATTCTTCCACCTCACATAAATCCTCATCTAACAGATCATCGGGTAAAAGAGACCATATATCTAATTTAGATAACAGTTATCATCCTTTTTCTCCAGAGCAACAGCAACAGCCTTCATGTCGTTTTTCGAAATCAAAAAGTAACTCAAATTATTATAATCCGTTTCCAAATCCTTTTTCATTACCCAACGATATAGCATCGTCTTATTTCACTAATGATCTTGTGCAAAGTGCTGCAATTGCTGCTGCCTCTCAACAACAACATCCAAATAATAATAATCACAACAACAGCAGTAATCGTCAAAATAATAACAATAATTACCGTCATTCACGAAAAAATCAAACATCATCGCACCATCGGAAAACATCAAATGAAACATCATCACGTAATCCATTTTCTAGTCATTCACGTTCATCTTCATCCCACATGACTGGTCCACCACATTCATTCGAACAGCATTCACAGTACAATCCATCCATGACCACTGATTTTCATTCATCACATCATTTTCCACCACGAGCACTTATGGACGAACAGAATATAGCTGCAACAATGTACAATGCAGCTGCATTTCAAGCCGCCGCATTTGGTTTTAAGTCTCTTAATGATACTCAATCATCGCCAGATGTTGATGCATTATTTCATCATCCATCAATGAAATTTGCTCATAATCATCATCCATATCCATTGTTAGCTTCACACCATCATCACTCATCGATGCGAGCAGCTGCACAACAATTCAGTTCTGGTTTTATGCGTAAGTACAATGATTCTTCTAAGTATGCAAGACGGAACAAATCGCGAAATTAAAATTGGATCGTTGTTCATCGCAATAAACGATTTCTTGACTCATAGCAATAAAGATGGTATGAAACAATGTTTCATGGTACGAATGAGCAAAAGTGGATTTGTTAGCCTTTTTTGTTTGCTATCACATTCTAATCAGATATCTAGACGTTTGGGTTATGGGCACTTTAAGAAATCTAAATCAGATTGAAAGCATGCTGCTGACACAATGGCATCATCCGGAAATCGCCATCACCGCGGATTCTTATATGTTAAAGTGTTAAAGTGTAAACGTGCATAATTGATGATGAGGGTGGAGCACTTCACTCTCACTTCTCCACTCTCACTCGTCGCGAGTTTGTATGTGTTAAAGTGTTAATGCTAAAGTGTTAACACTTTAACACCGAATCCGCGGCGACGGCGATTTCCGGATGTTATGGACACAATGATAAAACATAACACCATTTTAGCTTCCATTAACGTTCTGAAGTTAAATTTTAAAGAATTTCGTGAAGTAAATTACTGAATTTGCCAAAAATGTACGAATTAAATATTGTCAATCTACGAATAAAATTAGGACAAAAAGTCTTCAACTTATAAAAGACAGCGTCCTTCTAAGCAACAGAATTTTAGGCAGTCTAACATCCGTTTATTGAGAGTTAGATGTCTCTTTTGCTACAGAAGAACTCCGGATAACTGGTTAATTCATTATTCTTATTTGTTTATGTTTAGCTTCACGTGATCATCATACATTCGACATGTAAATTGAAGAATAAATAAAGAATATCGAACTGTAGACAATCGAATATAGAGCAGATATTTGAAAACCATAATTTTGTGTTTTATTTCTCCTATCCTTAGAGTTTGACGCTGGGTAATGTATACAAAATATATTATTTACAAAACAAATCAATTTTTTTCATTTGTCTATTATTTGCTTAAATGTGTTTATTCGAGAGCTCATGTCATTTTTATTTTATATTCGCCAGAAGAACCAAAAATTTTTGTTTTTTGTTTTTTTCATCTTGTATGTTGGCCATGCCGTTTGTTTTCACCAAGTAATTTCAGTTATAATGTTTTATTCAATCAAATAGCTTTTCTACTTCCGTCTTTACTAGTCTGTGTATAACATTCTGAGAAACATAACCACAATTTGTTGTTTCTTTATGTTTTTTGTCTCACTTCCATACTTTGTCGTGTGTTTATGTTCATTTTAGACGTCTTGTATAAAAAAACTGACTTCATAATATATATTTTTTTGCTCACCTGTTGCCTTACATATATTGTGCTGTTTTTATGTGTATCTGTATTACATGAACAAAAACATTACATTGCCAACCTTTTGAATGCTCACGCGTCTTTGTTTTCTGTCATTAATTGATGACACGTAGCATATAAAGGGTTACAGAAATTAAAATAAAATGAGTTTATATTTTCAACACAGTATGCGCTTTTTATGTGCACTTTTTTCTTTCTACTTCTGTTTTTATTTGTGTCTCAACGTCTCCCTAAAATTTTCCAGGTTAATTTATTAATGCCGTTTTCGTATTGCGCACACCCATACAAAGCAGAACCTCTGAATACGATACGCTCTTCCAATAGTATTAATTTCATAGTGTGTATAATGCAATAGAAGAGAATAGAATAGAAAAGTTTTTTTACCTGAATATTTCCCTTTGTCTATGTTTTCATTTAGAATCTCAATGTTTATTTAGTTTTGGTCTGTCTGCGATCTGTTTTATTCATTTTTTTGTGTGTTTGTATGCATATATATATCTGACGCCGCAATTTACTGTCTGTTTGGTTATTTTCTCTTTCCATTAAAAACTGTATTATTTTCTCTTTCGTGTGTTTTTCATAATTATTATTGATATGTACGTCATTCTATTCTTGTTTTTGTTTTTTATTCTTTATATTATTATCAGCTATAACGAGTTTTTTGCCCTCTTTTGTATAAATCGACTTTTATGGTTTGATTTGTTCTGTTTTCATTTTTTGAATTTATTCTTGTTTTTATTTGTGTGAAGCCAGAAATGGCTCAAAAATAAAAAATCTCATATGAAAACAAAAAGAGATGTCTGCTTGGTTTGTCTTCGAACTACTGCTGCGTTGTCAATTTTTTATTCTAATTCGATAAACGCTTAGATGCCCGTAGTCTATACTAAGATAAAAAAGGATTTTATTCGTTTAATGAAGATGCAAAGAATGTTTTCATTTTCATTTATATCGCGTAAAAAGAGGCAAGTATGTCTATTAGAAATAGTAGCTGTAAAAAAGAACCATTCTCAAATGAGACCTGATTTGTCGAAGTACGTGTTAAAATTAGATAACTTACTATTTGACTGAACTCAGTTTTATTCTGTGGTAAGTGAGGTATAATACTAATAATTCTATTTTGATCAAGATTCACTATAGTAGTATGTGCACCGCTGATTAAAACTTCATAACAGACTTATTTCTCACTCTTTGCCATGAACTAATACCACAGGGAGCCACGAACTAGCGTCAGAAGTGTGAAAAATTGCTGAAACCTTAAGGGAAGCGATAATCAGGTGCCAAGAAACAACAAATGCGACCTGCAGGAATGATTTTTATTGATGCAAAGTTTTTGTATGATAATTGAAGAAAGAGTATCGCAGTACGTAAACGAAAATAGCAGTAACTACAATATGGAAAACTCCCGTGTCTTAGAAAAGCCTACATATTCTTGAAACGAGGAAAAGTAGACAAGATTTCACGGTATTGCTGAAGGGTGTGATGGTTACAGGTAGACATTCGCTGTATTTGCTTTGGAGTGCCATGCTAGTATTCGTGGCACAGGTGAGCTTGCTCTTGAAAGGTTTATTTATTTTCTGTCCTGTCTTGAGTAGTTTTTGAACTTACACCTCTGAAAATATGAAAAAATGTCCTGAAGTGTAATGTATCTTATAAATCTGTGTTGGATGAATAAGTTCATGAAAAGTTATTTTTAAATAAATAGCTGGGTTTTTAATGGCTACTTGCTATTGACGCGAAAATTCTACTGGCAAAGAAAAGCTGTCTATGCAAATTTCTAACACGTTTAGAACAGAACATGCATTTTTACTCAAGGGATCGAGTGAATCGAAAAACGTTACTTTTTTGTAAATGTCCATTCATGTAAACGTTTTACTTTGTTTTCTAACACGTTCTAGGTGCCGTTTTTATCTCATACGTTTTAAAATTGTACTCTAGTGCCATCTGTGCGCCGCTAGGTTGGGACTTTACTACTTCTTGTTCACAGAAAAATCAACACTGGTGTAAGCTGATTTATAAATTACTGTTAAAAATGAATTCATAAACATTTGATAGGCAATGTAAAATAAAACGAAGCCTTTGTGCAGGCTGAGTGTAGTTAGCGAAAAATGAAGGTCATATATGACCTTGTACACACACCCCGTAATTTGAGTCTAACCACACGGTGTTTAAGAATAAGAAACAGCATTTGTAGCATCTTAAAAAACCAAATATTATAATTGAAATTGTTGTGATACTTAATTATACCATCGTTTGTACATATAAGTATTACAATTTCTGATTCGTAAATACTTAAAGTACTTCAGATTAGTTTACTTTGCTAAGAGGACCATTCCTATTTACTTTAGACGTAACTTCTTTTATTATTAAAAAATAGTATCTTATTTCCAAATTAACAACACTGAATAATCGATAGGTTACTCACTCTCTTTTAGTGTTATAATATGTACAACTTTTCTTAATCCCCCAGTTCTAGATTAAACTGAACGTCTATAGACATTGACGAACGATCATGAAATCATCGTAACACAAAGGGAGAAAAGAGGATGGTAAGTAAAACATTCGAAGCTCAAATATCTTTTATTCTGCTGTCTAAAAAATGTTTAGGATCGTTCAACAACAGCCGCGCCGATTAGACCAAGAGGTAATTTATCTCTCCTACTCAACATGCACTCTAATTTTAATCATAGATACCTCTTTTGGTCTATTCTTGCTCTTTTATATTGAGCAGAATCAAAATCAGTTTAACGGTACTGACAAATTTTATTTTTCAGTTTTCCACATAGTAAGTCCTTTAACGGGTTCAAAAGCCACAATCATCACAACAGACACAACAACTCCAGACACAGTACCTGTTCTCATTCAATCGTCACACCGTGTATGTACAATTTTTTCTCATTTTTATCACATAATTATGTTGTATTTTCTCATAGGTTCGTCAAACTGCGTTATCAGAAAAAAATCAATACGTTGCTGCTGTAACGTCACGAAAACGAGCATTTCCTTATCATGATGTCAATGAAACAATTTAGTACGTATTCGAGTATGAAAAACGAGATGAAAAAAGTGATTTATTCATCTTTCTTTCATCCTTTTTAGTCAATCACATCGGCGTACACGTGAACGTTTAACAAAAGGATTAAGACATTTCAGTAAAAAAGTCTGTAATAAAGTTCAAGAAAAGGTGGTTACAACCTATAATGAAGTTGCTACTGAATTGGTCAATGAACATTCAGTGGAAGAAGGGCGACATATCATGGATGATGATTTAGTATGTTTCTATTTCATAATCTTATATAATGTGTGTTAGTTACGCAATTTACTGTCTTTAGGCCTATGAGCAAAAAAATATTCGTCGGCGTGTGTATGATGCCATTAATGTTCTTATGGCAATGAATATAATATCAAAAGATAAAAAAGATATTAGATGGATCGGATTTCCTGTCAATGCATTATTTGAATGTGAAGTATTAGATGTAAGTGTATGATCAACGAGAGAAACGAGTCTTTTTCTATTTTTTAACTGTTTTCATTTTTAGAACAAAATAAATGCAGTAAAACAATCTATTCGAGAAAAAGTTCGACTAGTAGAAGAATCATTGTTAAAGGTAATAGAAATTGTTATATATAGATATTTTTCATATACATTCGATGGTTTTATTCAAATAGGAAGCAGCATTAAGAAAACTTGTCAAACGAAATTCTGAACGTTCTTCAACGCAAAGTTTAAATAGTGTTTGTTATTTACCATTTTTGGGTTTTACAACATCGAATGGCACTCAAATTGAATCAATAATATCAGAAGACGGGTACATTCTCTTCTAGTTTTTAATGATGTACATACAACATATGTCTTTTTTTTGTTTATTTATAGTCGTGATGTATTTCTTAGTTTCGATCGAAAATTTGAGATTATTGACGATACAGATTGTTTACATCGATTGGGTTTAACTGACGAATTACGTGGACGAACAAGTGATATGGCAGAATTAGAAAAGACTCGTTTATTACTACCAGAAACGTTTCATGATTTTGTAACTGGTACAGAATTTAGATCGAATATGTTTCTGATAAAAATAATGTTTTTTTTTTATTGATTCAGAAATGTGTCTTGCTGGAAAACTTCGACCTTTATATGAACGATCGAACACTAGTTCAAATACAAAACGGCCACAATCTCACACACAACAACAGATCATAAAATCATCACCTCTCAAACCTACCATGGAACCTCAATTACCTCCACCTCTAATTTTTGTTCCTCCATCATGTTTTGATGAGGCAATGTTTAAAGGTACACTACTTGAATTAGTTTAAGATGTCAGTTAGTCTAATTACCATTATCGATTTTTATTTTTCTGAATGAGTTGTTAGTAGAATTTAGCATATAATTCATTAAAGCAGATAGAACTCATGTAATAGCTTTAGTATCTAAGTTTAGTTTGTTTTCTATTTAGATGATGAACAAGAAGAAGAATATATTGTCGATGATGAAGAAGATGACGATGTATTATCATTATCATCAGAAGAAGAAATAGACAACGAACAACAACAAGAATCTGAAAGTTCATTTTCAAAAACTAATCGTGTTGAACCTGATACTCATACGCTTATCACGGCGAAAACATAATAACTAATTTCTTTTTAATCTGTATTCTGTGTGAATACTTGTTTAGAGCTTGGATATTTGTATTTGTTCATGCTCTATACCTGTTTGCTAAATAATTATTTATTTGAATATGGCGCCGTTGTTTGCCTAATTTTCGTGCCAGTAATTTTGTTATGTTCCTTTTTTTTTTTAAATTAAATTGTTGTTCTCATATTTTTGCACTAAAAATTTTTTTGACATATTTCTTTGTGCTCACATATTGTGTACATACGTTTTAGTTTGTCTTTTTAAAAAAAAACCTGTAATTTATGAAATAAAAATTGTAAATTATTGAAATAGAAGGTTTTATCTATGTAATATAGTATATTGTATAGATTATAAATAACTTATGCCGTTTATTGTCAGTTTTAATTTTTAGAAGTAGTTTTACCAATGTTGCTTAAGCAACATAATTTTCTTTATAATTAGACTGATGACTGAATATTTAACTCTTTTTTTTAATTTCTTAAAACAGACTCAGACACACACACACATTATGAAAATAGAATTTTTTTTGTTATATATTTTAACTCATTTTTCATTTTCTACTTGCTTGAAATTACGTAAAAAGAATTTTTCTTGGTCTAAAAGCAGCACAATGTTGTAAAAAAAAAAGAAGAAGAAATGTAAAGAGAAAAATGAAATGAACATTGTATAATAGAAAAAGAAAAGTAAACATTTTTAGTTTTGTAGCACATAAGAAAAAACACATATGATATGTATTTAAAAATTGCATGAAAACATTATCTACAGATATATAATCAGAGTAAAAATGATACGATTGTATATATATATTGATATAAATATCATAAAATTAACTCGAAAAACAAAAAATTTGAGCTCTCTGAATAAACTACTATAAGATGTGATGATTTAATTTATCGTCTATAAATTTTAGAAATAAAAACAGATATAAATATAGAAAGTAACTCGTTACTTTATTTCCAGTATTCGATTTTTCAACAGGCTGATTTGACGGACATTTTTCTGCAAAAAAAAAATTTATAATTAATAATTATAGGTTAAAAAGTCATTATATTATCACTTACCAAACTCTTCAAGTAGAATAGGAATATATTCTTCCCAAAATGCACAGTATTCTGCGCGTAATGCTACACCTGTACTTTTACTATTTGTGTCTAACACAATATGCTTTCGAGCTGGATAAGAATATTTTGGCCAATCATATGGAAAATTTGTATCATTACCATTTGGATCACTTAAATTATATATATAAATAAATTTAATCAATTCGATCACTACTTAAAAAATTGTATTTACTTGTGTTTGGCAAAATTACTCCAATATGTCATTATTCGTCTACTTAATTGTACTTCTTCTTTCGTATAGTGTTTTTGATCTGTATGATTAAGAGGTTCACCAAAAATAAATACAATTTCATCTCTAAATTTATCTTTAGATTATAAATAAATATATGAAAAATGAAATTTTCTTACCCATGCATGACACCAGTCCACTGATGCCAGTCAGATACAGATGGACGTGCCATAAAATGATAGAAAAATACATTTTGAGATGCTTCAGAATAAGTATTAGCAATTGTAACCGTAGGACAGATAAAATTTGAATCACCAACAGCATGACAATAAAATAAAAATAAAACAAAATGATATTTTATGTGTATCTATTTAATTTTAAGATGATACTATGACTAGCATCATGACTAATTTATTTAATTTTTATTTTTTCAGATAAATGTCATTTTTTATTCATATAATTTGTATAATACCTTAACCTAATAGCATTTTTAATATTATCCGTCCAATCTACCCAATCAGTATATCTTTGTATGACACTTTTTAATACAATTGCTGGTCCTTTAAATTTTAGAAAAGTAAAACATAAAAGATATAAATAATATTAAATGATTTTAATAACCTTTGTATGGATAAGAAGGAATATAATTGTAATATAATTCTAAATGTTTTAAAAATGTTGAATAGGAAACATCTGGCAAAGCGTTGCCAGGCACCTAAAACATATTAAAATATGATAAGATAAAATATATTTAAATTATATTTCATAGTTAACCTTATCATTTCCCGTTGCATAGACCATAAAATAACTTCCTTCATCTTGATTTGCACCTAATAATAATGGACATTTCTAAAATAAACCATTTTATTTTATCATTAATAATTTTTATTTTATTTTATTATTATTATCATGACATACTTTAAAATTTCCTGTTTTTAACATTGTTATGGGATTTTGAGGTAGAAATGTTCCATCAATAACGGGCATTAATAGAAAAAATACAGGACCACCGTCTTGAATTGTATACTCAGCATTTGTCCATGTATAACCATAATGTTCTTCATCTAATACAGGATAATGGAGGGCACATTGAAATTGTATTTCAATATCATCTGTATCACTCCGTTTACATATATCAGGTATTCTATTTGATTCCCATGGTTTATCAAGTAAACGTTTATTAACAAGTGAATAAAATTCATGTAAAAATTTTTTACTACGATTATAAGCTTCAGCAGGTGTTATAAAACCCCATTTTGCTGTTGGACCACCACTTTGTAATATAGCTGAATTAAATAATGATCGACTCTTTGGCGATAGTAAATGAAATCCAACTGATACAGCACCAGCACTTTCACCGAACAATGTTATACGTTTAGAATCACCACCAAAATTTTGAATATTATTTGCAATCCATTCTAATGCTAATACTTGATCATAAAGCCCCTGATTACCTAAGAATAAGACAGAAAGAAAAACAAAAAATTATAAAGAATGTTAAAATAAAAAAATTAATTATTTATTTATTTTTTATTTTTTTTGATTACTACCTGGTGCATCTGGTTTTCCTAAATAAAGAAAACCAAAACTTTGTAGTCTATATTGCATTGATACAACTATCACATTGTTTAATGCTGATAAAATACGTCCATCATAAATATCAAGACTTGCTGTTCCAGTTACAAAACCTCCACCATAAATCCATACAAGTACGGCTAATTTTGTTTTTGGATGTCGTTGAACAGGTGCCCAAACATTTAAATATAAACAATTTTCACTACGAATAGTATTTGGTGACCATATTTTTTCTGCTGAAAGATTATAGACAATTTGTTCTGTTTGCCAACATGTTGCTGGTAATTGTGTAGCATTATAAATATTTGTCCATGGTAATGGTGGTTCAGGTAAACGAAATCGTCGTAGTCCAATAGATGGTTTAGCAAATGGAATACCTAGCCAAGCATTTACACGATATAAAATATTTGGTATATTATCAGCAACGGTAAATTTAAATTCAATTCCTCTTACAGGTCCGTAAGATGTTTCACGAATAGGTTCATTATTTATTGTATGTGAACGATAATGATTATAAACATTTCGTTTATGAATTGTTAAACCTTTAACAGTTGTAGGCATAATTATAATAATTGAGTTAATTAGTATCGTTAAAATATGTCTTTTATTTATTGTTAAATATTTTTGAATATTTTTTTTAACTAAATTGAATACGATAAACAGTGTTACTAGTCGAATGTAATAATAATTCATCATTATTTTTATATGTTACAATCATGCCGTTAGATACTGCATTCTTCTTCTTGTTCTTCATCATCATCATCATCATCATCATCATAATAATAATAATAATGAAATTGCATCGATCGAAAATAAAAACAGACGGTGATGATAGTGATGATGGTGGTGGTAGTAGTACGATAATAAAATTATATAGAAATACAAAACACTTGCTCATTGATATCACTACATAAAATATAATTAAGTATTAATAGAAAAAGAAGGAAAATAATAAAGTTCGGGGCTTTTTTTTATTTTTTTATTTTCTAAAGAAAAACATAAAATTCATCGTGTTGATAAAAAAAATTTTCCCACTTGATAAAAACAATTTATTCCGTTTATACTATTTGTAGTTTGATCTTGATTAATTGTGATAAGAAATGAAAAAAATTTTTAGTCTGAAAAACATCCTGAAATAGTATTTCTTATTTTTTTCACACATAATGTAATAAAAAAAAGAAAAAGAAAATCTAAAACTACAAACCTATGCTTTTTAACTTATCTATATTAGTGTTTTAATAAAAGTGTCTAAAAGTGAAAGTGGATACTCACTTAATCATATATGATAGAAGTTAATCTCAATGGACAAAGAAATAGTTACTTTCTCTTTTTCTCTCTCTCTCTCTCTCTTTCTCTTATACATACATATACTACACACAAGACACATATATGTACATTCTATCCTAATTTCCTATCAACTGAAAGAGAGCTTTCTTAAACGGAAACTCATCTCATGAATCAACACTCTTTCAAAAACAAATTTCCTAGTTTTATTCTTGACTATGTGTCGTTTTAGTGGTGTGGGAGAAGTAAGTTATAATCTAATAGTTTCTATTGTTTTCTACAGGAAGGAAAGAAGGTGTATTATGTAAATTTAGTTTACATGATTTCAAGAGTACCGTGTCAAATCATATTATTTTCTATATATATATATCTGGGAGCAAAAAAATAAAAAATAAAAATTTATCACCGTAGTACTATGATCCTAGGTGAAACTTCTTTACATTTTAATTTAGAAAACTAAATTAAGTTTACTATGTCAATATAATAATAATAAAAAAAGTGAAAAATTTTATTGAAACTGTCAATGTAATTGTGCTATCTGTTGATTTTTGACGATCACATTTCGATTAAATAATAAATGAAAAAAAGCAACAACATATTGTTCAATTACATATTACTCGTCAACTTTCTTCTTCTTATTATTTTTCTATTATTGACATTCATACCTAGTGAATCTCGAGGTAGAGTGATTATAAAGATCTTTAAATCAATCATTTACTGTAAGAAGAATAAGAAAAAGAAAAAAGAAATAAATTTCATCTGCTTTTTTTCTCGTTGTTATCATTATGTTTTTGACATTTGAAGAATAAGTAACGAATGAGAGAAAAGAGTTCATCTCATCTCTAATATATTTTAAAAAAACGTATGAATATTGTTTAAGTGGGAAAAAAGTGGTTTTTTTTTTTTTCGTTGTTCAATGAAGAGAGAAAAATGCTACAAGTCAAATGCACTTGGAGGAGAAAAAAAAATGAGAGAGATAGTTTTCCTTATTGTTTAAAGACTAAAATTAGTGAAAAAAAAATACACACACAGACAGATAAAGAAGAAACTAGTGCTAACTGACCTAGAATTATTTTTTAATTTTTGATAAGCATATTGACCTTCAATACAAGAGTTAAAATGATGATGATAATGATATAGTGTCTAGACACACAAAGTGTATGATGTATTTAAAAATATAAAATGATCTCGCTTATTATGTATGGGTGCTGGAAAATCGTTAACAATGATCAACTACACATTGGACAAATCAAGTCGAAAAAAAGAGGACAATTTCCTTTGTTCGTCCTGATCATATTATATATTCATGTTTTTCTACGTTTTCTTTCTTCTTTTATTTTTTTTTTTACATACAGCTAAATTTTCTTTAAATTCCTAATAAATTTTGTCCTTCTTTCTTCTAGTATATCTAGAGAGAGAAATAGAGAGATTTTCTTTCCGCAAATGTTTTTCTCGTTCTTTTCTAGTTGATTGCATTTTCTATGTAATTCTTTCTTCATTTTTTATATATATATTATTTAGAAAACCTTCCTTTTCTCCGGTTTTTTGTCACTAATATATATTTAGACTTTAATTCAACGAGAAGCAAGCAAAAATATAAGAAAAATCCTATCTTAAAGACGATTACCGAGTAGTTATTGTAGTACTGTTATTACTAGTACCACGATTGTGTTCAAAACATTCTATTTTATGAGCGTATTATTCATTTTTTTTTTCTATCATGACAATTGCATTTTAAAAACATCTAACTTCGATAGATATAGATACAAAAAAAAAATAAAAAGAAGAAAAATAATAAAAATAAGAAAGATGATCGGAAAATTCAAGTAATTGAAGTATCTAACATAAACACATATATCAATAAATAGCAACAAGTTAAATTTTAGGATAAAATTTTAAACGTTAGTTAGTTTAATCCATATATTTTATGTAAGAGAGAAGAGGAGAAGATATAGAGATAAATTACTATTAAATTATTCAAAGTTTTCCGCTGGGAATCGAGAACATGAGAATTTTTATTGTTTCTCTTAGATAACTGATCAAATTTTATAATTTTTCTTTATTTTTTATCGTTTATTTGTTGTTTTAAAAACAATCATTATTATACATCTTGTTTACGTTCAACAATAACTCCTCTCAAAAATGGACTATGTTACAGTAACAAATTATCCGATCTTTTTTCAATAGTTTCTAGAATCTAATGTATTTACTTACTAAGAATGCATCAGTTTAATTACAAAAACGACAAACTTAGAAATAATCGATGATTTACACAGTGGTGGAATGAAAAAAAATTTTTGTTCAACTAAAGAAATTCTTTTATTTTTAACAAGTTTCTTCTCTTACATACATAAATCTTACAATTTATACCAATCTGTTCATGAAATATTAAAATTTTCTTCTTTCTCATGTTGCTGACGTAGTAATAAGTCTGTTTACGCAATTCATTAAATCTATTCATATTTGATCTACGTATCAGAATGACGACTATTGAGTGAGTTCTTTTGTTAATATAGATACAAGATTAAAAAGTTGAATAAATTAGTAATAAATTGGATAATAAATCATAAAGGTACATTCATCTCGTTCAACTAAGTTTTAAAAAAAAAGAGTCATATAAATGAAAAAAAGAAAAAGTTTTTTAAGGATTTACGAACAAATACGTTATCATATTTCATACAAAAGTATATCAATCACATCACTTTATAAAGTCTGGTTAACAAAAGAAACAATGTCAAGTGCATTATGAGAAAAATACGTTATTTCGAAAATTATATAGTAAAAGTCCATCAGGCAGTAATCTTTCTGTCATCACGTTAGCTTATAAAACTGCATATAACTATCTGTCATTTATAAATAAAATTGTTAGAAGTATATTTGATAACAATGATTATGTATCAAGTGTCAGTCATGTCTTAAAAGACTTCAACACAAATAGAGCAATGTCATATAAATGGAATACTTCGAAATTTAGATCCATAACGTTATTAATTCCCAAACTAATCTTAAACCGCCTGTGATCCCAGATAGCTGGAGTAAAGATTGATTCATCCGTTTATTAAGTCATGCGACTTATTACAAACAAATAATTTTTGAATTCATAGAACTATTACCTGCACTTTCAAAACTATGTGTATAGATAACTATACGATCACTTAATTAATGATAATCTGCTAATATTCCATCCATCAGGCTTCAGGCATAAAGACAATACAATTAAATTGTTGATAGAAATTATTTACAAAATTAGCAAGGATATAGAAGAATAAAAGTTTTTTTTTCAAGCAGCGTTAATTGATTTTGTAAAGTTTTTGATAAATGTTAGCCCTCAAGCAGTGCTATTGAAATTGAGGAAGAAAAAAAAGGAATACAAGAAAAACTATTGAATCGGTCTAAGAACTATTGACCTGGACGTATAATTTAAACGTTAGTAGAAAATGAAATCTTTCTAAGATGTTCAATAGATAATGATGTTCTACAAGGACATGTTTTATTAGCTCTTCTATTTCTTATCAATGTGGACAATATAGTATTTGTCATTGAGAGCATTATCAAACTCTTTAGTGAGAATAGTTCACATTAATTCTGTTTCTTCGCCTATGACTAATACATTAAATAAAAATTTTATACACACGTAGAAAATTGATTGATCAATGGTTCATGACAATAAATTTTTAGAAAATGTGACGTTATCATCTTTCATACTATCCTAAACGAACTCTTACTGTATAATTACTTTCACTTTTCCTCATAATCAAGGTTAATAATGATTCCGAACGTTGAATATTTAGAAATGTATCTATTTTACGATATGTCATGTAATATTCATGTAGAGAAGTTAAGCGAACAGGGAAATCAGTTGTCAGTTCAACGTGTTATCGTCGTTAGATATTAAATAAATTATACTCGACGCTGCGAAACTATTTTCTTTAATTACTACTGGAATGTTAATGTATTAGAGGATATTTAATATCTTACTACTTTAATAGTATTGGGTACAACGAAAGAGAGGGAGGTTCCCTCCCCAAACATACCCTCAAGTTTTGCCAGTTTATAGAGGACACCTTCAAGGGTATATGTGTGCAATAACTCATGAGTTGGATAAGTTTTGACGGAGAGATGAAACTTTTAAAAATTGAAAAAATCGATTTTCCCAGCTATTTTTCACTTAGTGCAAACAGTATTTCTGTCACAGTTGCCCATGTCAACGAAGCATTTTGGAAAGTTTATGTTGATGCAAAAGTTGTTCATTGCACTCAGCTATACCAGATGACATATTTTCTTTTTAGTGCAGACTGCGTAGCTACAAAGTTTTAGGTCATAAACTAACTCCGAGTCAGAATTCTGCTCGTAATCCTCGATTTTCTATA